GGACCTACAGGGGAAAGAGCACTAACTCCCACAAGTCCTCTGACCTCCACACATAAAATGTAGTGTGCATGTGTACACACACACAAACACACACACACACAAACACACAAATATGCAAACGGTTTAAAGACAATTCATTATACATTTCTGATTTTCAAAAATTAATTTGTATTTATCTAAATATTTTAGGCTAAACGTAATCTATTCATCAGTAAACTTGTATGCAAAATGGTCTCTACTTCTACGTTGCCTCTCTAGTGCAAACAGTTCAATGAGCAGGAAGGTCTGGATTCCAAAATCATTTCATTTCTTTAACTGGCTGGACTGGGTCAGCAGACTAGTCTTCCCCATTCCTAAGTCTTTCCTTTCCATCTTAGCCACCACTGCTGATACCAAAGTCTCATGGGATGATGCACATGCGGAAACCCAGCCCCTTCCCCAGATCTAGTTAGAACTTCCTGTCAGAACCATGCCACAGGTTCCACCCACTGGGGTCCTTATGATAGGGAGTCCCTAAATCACCTAGAAAAAGCAGAAGACGCCGGGATTCCTGTAAGTGTACTTACAGCTTTGTTGGTAAGTAGGCTGCAGTGTCATCCTTACTTCTGATAATGTCGTTACACTTGTCTAGTGTTTGGAAAACTGTGTAAGTGTCCCCAATGCTGTAAAGGGCTGCAAGGTTCTTAGCTAACAATTTCCGAGTAGGTGGTCCAGGAGAGCTGCTTATTAATCCAGTTAATTGTTCAACAAGTTTCTTCTGTTTTTCTTTTACGTCTGTCTGTTATTTGAAAAAGAAAAAGAACGTCATATTTTTCCTTGTACCCTTAATACTTTGTAGTCAAAAATGCTTAACATGCATGATGCTCTAAGAATTAAAACCTGTATGCACTCAGCGTAACTCACACATGAAAACTTTTATAAAAATGAAAACTTTTTCCTAGATTAAATCACTATTCCTCTTTATTGTACAAAAGTTTCATTTCAACAAAAGTGATTACTGTGTGAGCCAGTTGCAGATCAACTTAGGAAGTTAAACCATATACTAAATGTATAGATGACTGATATCAAAGATTTTCCCCTGAAACTTCAGATACAGTTGTCCAAAAAGTTAGGGGCTAGTAAAGGAAACCAAAAGAAATTTAGAGATCTAAGCAACAGAACATAATTCCCAGATCCACACATAATCACTATCTAGTCAATATCTAGAATTGTAGAATCTATAATTACTACAAGCCACGTACTACTCAACAAAGCCTAGTTCTCATGAAACTTACACTCTTGGGGGAGGGATAGAATATAAATACATGAATGTTATGAGTGCTTACTATTTAATATAAATTAATTAGAAAAACATCTCTCTAATGTGAAGTGTTGAGCTATGCAGCTACCCAGGAGAACATTCCAGGGAGTGGGAACAAGACTTACAACGTTTGCAAATGAAGTGTGCTTAGCACACCTGAGGACGGCAAGGTCAAGATAGCTGGGATGAAGTAGGAGAAAACAGTCAAAGACGAAGTCAGAAGAACCCAGATGATTACACTGAAGAACATTCAGTTTATTCTGAGAGAGCGCTGTAATCTAAATGTTTCACCCAGTTAACTCTGACTGCTGAAAGTGTGGTTGCTGAACATACACGGCAGGAGCAGGGTGGGCAATTAGAAAGCTATTGCAACAACCCGGAAGAGAGACACTGGAGAAGCAGGAGATTGCTAATCAGCATGATAGGAGGTTTAACAAAGAAGGACAGGACGATTTTTAAGGATTTGGGAAAGGCTAAATTTGAGAAAGAAAATCACTACTTTGGTTTAGGTGTGTTAGCATTAACTCTGTGGGGTGTGTGTGTGTGTGTGTGTGTGTGTGTGTGTGTAGAAAGGGGGGGGAAGGGGGGGAGGAGAAAGGACAGAAGAGGGAATCCCATTCTGCCCTTGAATTTACTGTGCAGCTGAGGACAACTGTGAACTTTTGATCCTCCTGCTTCCACTTCCCAGGGGCTAGGATTATTGCTGTGGGCCGCCACATAAAATTTGTTTTATGTGTGCCAGGAATTAAGTCCAGGACTTTTTGCATGTTAGAGGCGAGTGCTCTGCCAACTGAGCTACCTAGGAGCCCATGAGCTATCTTCTGAAAGTTGGGTATCTGAAATGGGGGTAGAAATCCTAAGATTAGCTATCACTACAGAGTAACACCGATGACTCTCACAACAAAACAACGTGAGTTTTGAGTATTTACCGCAGCTTTCCCAAAGCTATGTGAAATGATGGGAAGGGACCAAATAAAACAAGTCCTGACTATTGATTTGAATAATTTGAGTTATGTGATAACTTGGAAAAGACTTTTCAGTGGAAGGAAGGCAACAAAGGTTCAGTTACAAATTTAAGAGATAAGTGAAATTTCCAGTTAAAGGTTACAAGGGAATCCATGCATTGTCTTTCTGGCAATTAAAGTGATTCTACCAGGCAGGAACAATAGTATCAGATCACAAGTTTACAACAGCCACGACAATAGGAAAAGAACCCAAGCAAAATCTGGATGCTTAGGACTCCCAACAGAGAAAACAAGAAGAAATTAAGACACAAATTACTCCAACAGTTCATGTTTTTAAGGCCTGGGAGCCTTTTGAGGTTAGACTAAATCTTCACTTGGAAACAAAAGCAATGACTGGTTGATAGTCTAAAAGGGCGTACGGAGAACACCCATCATGTCCAGCATTTCATCACTCAGGCAGATAATGCAGGAAGACAGCTGCTTGTTTGAAGCCAGTCTGGGAAACACAATGAGTCCCAGGCCAGCCATGAATAACTAAAAAAGCCTGTCACACCAAGTAAAATCAGAGCCAAAAAAAAAAAAAAACAAAAAAAAAAAACAAAAAACCCAAACACCCACAAAATCTCTATGCTTCTCTCCTCATTTTAGAAGAAGGCTAGAGGCTTGTTTTCTGAAAAAAAAAAAAAAAAAAAAAAACAGTAAGACAGGACAACTCTGGACAAAAAAGTATCAGGCACAACTGTGGACTGAGGTCACTGTACTAAAACAGGAATTAAGTGAATATTTACATACTGAGTGTTGAAGCCTTCAGGCTCCACATCCCAGTCCCTCAATCCTAGACAATTAACCACATCTCCTTCAGACACTAGAGTAGAAAAGTATCTTCTAGGGAACAATCAGTCAAGAGGAACAAACTAACACAGTAAGGGCAGGACTAGCCTATCTGACATTCCACCAACAAAATTCACCTTTTCCTGAACACCTTCTATGACTCACTTTTAAATTTAAACAAAGCTCTCATTTGAGGAACCCATCTAATGCTTAAAAAAATAAACAAAATGTGAACAAAACAACTTTGCATCAAAGAGTCTGTGTAGGAAGTAGACGAAACAGTAAAAGTCTCCTTTAAGTCCCCAGAGAACATGCAGACACTGGAATCACAGGCACCACAGAGACCACTTCTAGGCACTGATGACTGTGAGTGACACCAGCCACAGAGTCATCTTCTTCTCCCAGTCACACTAAGCTGAGATACGAAGGTCGCAACAAGCAGGATTTAGTCAGGGTTTCGGTTTTGTTGCTGATCAAGAGAAAGGTAAACTAGAAATTCCTGACGTGAGTGACTCATAACATTTTCAAAACACGATGTTTAAATTTTCCTTTATATTAATCTCATGGGGGTGGGGGAGCAATACCTACCTTGTTGGCAGCAACTAGGACTTTGTCAAGAAATCTTAACCATTCAAAGATAAACACTGGTCTCTTTGCTTCGGTAATTTGAGCCAATGCTTCTTCATTTAGCAATAAGCTGTGAGCTAACTCCATTATTGAAGTTCTTAATTCACACCTTAAACAAACAGATTAGATAAAATAAAAAAGAAGTGCATGTAAGGAATTTTTGTTTATGTGTAGGACTGTTTGTCTACATAAATGTATGTGCACCACGTGAGCCTGCTGCCCACAGAGTTCAATCAAAGCAGGGTGTTAGCTCCCTGCAACTGGAGTTAGAGATGGTTTTGAGGCACCACGTGGGCCCCGGTCCTTTTCAAAAGCACCAAGTGTTCTTAACCACTGAGCCATCTCTCCAGTCCCCACATGTAAGGATTTTTAAATATTAAATGTCAAGTCTCATAAATGCAACCACTAAGATAGGGAAAGAAAGTACGGTTTCACTTCTCATTATTTCTTATTTGTTCAATATAACTTCTTTGACACACAGCCTGAGAGAACCAATTTTGAGAAGACAACAGAAGAAATTAACTGGAGGTAAGAATGGAGTGCAAGGAAAATGGAAATACTGCAAAAAGGCATTATTCCCGGTAATTCATTCTACCATGAGAACCCCCTAAGCAACAAGCTCACGCCTCTTGGCGAGCTTTCTCCGTCCCTGGCTGAGTGTACCGACACCTTTACCGGTCCCTGGCTACCAGGGCCCAGGATAATGACCCCAGGCTTCCGACAGGCGAGGGGCGGGGCTCCGCAGTAGTAGCGCCCGAGACAACCCCTCGGCCCGAAGATGCAGACCCCGACTGCTCGGTGTCTCGGTGCACCCCGCTGCTCCGAGGGTCGCGATAGCTTAGGGCCTGAGGAAAACGCGAGTCGGGGTCGCGGGGACGCCCCAGGATGTCAGCTTCCCGTCGCGGGGGGGAGGGGTCCCCGAGCTGTCAACCCCACGAGGCTGAGGCTCCCGAGCCTTAAAACTGCAACTCCCTCCTCAGCCCTCGACAAACGTCCCGCAGCACAGGGATCGCGGTGCATGTCTACCGGCAGGCTTTGACAACGCGCGGGGCCGCCTCACCTCCTAGTCTAGCAAGAGCGGAGCAGCTGAGCTCCGCCGGCAGAAGTCACGGCGGACGGACCCGGATGCCCCGCCTCCCAAACTTCTGCCATCAGGAAGAGGGAGGAATACGCAGGCGCAGAACGCTGGTCACGCGCACGCGCACTCTTCACGCTCTCTTAACCCCGCCTACCCGCAAGTTCCCGAACGAATCGGCTGTCAGAAACAAGTGGGATGAAACTCTATGCCCCCCCCCCCGCACGAAATTGGACGGTGCATGCGCAGCGCGCTGGGGGTTCGAGGCGGTAAAGCTGCGTATTTAGGGTCTGCGGACGCCCAGAAAATTTTGACTGAGGTCGGTGCTAGTTGGCTGTGACTGCCCATCACGACATCAGCAGCGCCCCATCCGTGAGTGGTCGTTTTGGTGAGTCGCGGCAGGCGGGAGGGAAGGACCAGCGATGCTCGAGACATCCGTAGAAAAGAGGTAGCCCACCTCCGTGTATTACGTAGCCCTTGCTTCAAACTACCGTACCCTTTGCCCAATAAAGAATAAGCCTGCACCTATAATATTCCCGTTGAGAAAACGGTTACCCGTTCTTTAGGTGAATAAGCAAAGAGCTTCACATTATCTTGCTCTGGTTCTTTCACACACAGCCACCTCCAACCCATCCGCAAATGCTGTATGATGTCCCTTTAGGTAGACCACCTCGCTGCTGTGACTCTTAAGGGATGGTCCAGCATCGTTGCCTGGGTTTTCTGTCCATCGCCTTGTGAAGTTTATGCTTATGTTTGAAGGGAGTGGATAACGCTGGTATATATTGTCCTCTTAGCAAGAGAGCTTTCACACTTGAGGACCTAAATTCCTTATTCCGCTTCTTAAAAGTAATTTAATTTCCTCTCCAATAGTAACTAACTTCCTCAGAATGTGTCTATCGGTGACATTGCAATACCTGGGTGTAAGTGTGATGAGGTACGAAAATTGTAACTATCAGATGTAATAGCTAAAAGGGAGCGCTTTCAAAATAACCTGTAATACCTTGTACTTTGTGTGGGTGGGAATGTTTCATGTTCTGAGACAGGGGCTCCACTGTGCAGATCATGCTGCCGTCAACTCCAGTACACCAAAGGGCTACCGTGTCTGACTGTGGAAATGTTCCCCCTAATAATAATTCAATTTGGACTAGAGATTTAGCTCAATGGTAGAACGCTTTCCTTACATCAGTGAGGCCTGGGGTTCGATGCCCAACTCAACAATGACTGTTATAGCCTCGTTCTGTTCCAGGCTAGAGATTTAGCTCAATGGTAGAACGCTTTCCTTACACCCAGCTCAGCGATGACAATTCTAGCCTCGTTCTGTTTCAAGAGCAAAATCACCAAGACCTGTATTCTCTGTGGCTGCGAACAAGTCATGTAGCCGGATTGAGCCTTGATTTTTCCAGCTGGAAAGTGGAGCTAACTGTTCGTATCTATTGAGCTGTTGATGAGCTAGGTGAGTATTAGCTGTTACGTGTAAGCATGCCTGTATTCAGTCTGACTCACCTCAGGCTGGACTGCTTCCCAGGTGGCGTACTGATTTGGCTCACACATTTGTGCCTCAGATCCTTCCACATGGATGCTCCAAAGAGCTTCTTGACTGCTCCCCTGTGTGGCCACAGGCTTGATTCAGTTAATCCATGCTACCAACTTTACAGAGTGCAGTGTGCAGTATGACCCAAAAGTCAATCTCAGACTCAAAATCCTGTTGGTTACACGAATGGCTCAATATGAAGAGTGCACAGAGTTATCAAAAAGCCCAGAGGCAAGATTTACTAGGAACCGACCATCTTGGAGAATACCACGTGATTGTATGAGTGTCTGTCTGGAGAATCACAAGTTCCGAGGCCAGCTTGGACTGCATTGTGAGTTCCAAGCCAACCTGAGATACAGCATATAGTGTGGTCCAATCTCAGGAAAGAAACAAAAAAACAAAGCAAGAGTGTTTACTTCTGTGGTGTTTTGAATCCGTATGGTACCAGTAGACGCATATTTTTGAATACTTGGTCTCCAGTTGGAGGACTTGTTTTGGAGGGATTAGACGGTGGGCCTTGCTGGAGGTGGTGAGTCACTCCAGGGGCTTTGAGGTTTCAAAAGCCCACACCATTTCCAGTTAGCCATTGTTGGCTTGGCTGCTTCTCTGTTGCTAGAACGTAGAGTGCTGAAATTCTCTGTTTGTGCACAAGGGAGCATCATGTAGCATTGCCTCTCTCTGGTTGATTTCCATCATGGTAAACTAAAATGATAATACTATTACTTTGTCTTATTTGATTTGTAGGCAGTGTTGTCATTTGAAGTTGAACATGGCAGAAGAAGAGGATTACATGTCAGATTCCTTCATTAATGTTCAGTAAGTAAATGTGTATGCCTAATATGATGATATGCAAAAGGCATCTGTAGACTATAAAATAAGGACAGTGTTTGGGTGGTGGTACCGTAATCATGTGTGCTGTTTTGAGATGGGGTCTGTCTCATGTAGCTTAGGCTGCCCTCCGGCTCACTATGTAGCTGATTCCCCTGCCTCTGTTTCCTAGAACTGAGATTGCAGGTGTGTACAAAAGCCATGCCTAGCTGTTGCAGCGCTGGGGGTCATACTCAGGCTTCAGGCACGGTAGCAAGTGCTCTGTCACTACCTGAGCTATTTTCCCCTATCACAGACCAGGGCCTTTTCTAATATGGATTTCAATTTTGAAGGCAGAGGCAGGCAGATTGCTGAGTTTGAGGCCAGCCTGGTCTACAGAGAGTATCAGGCTGGCCAGGACTACACAGAGAAACCCTGTTTGGAACTCCCTTCCCCCAGGAAAAATCAGTTTTCCTATTTCATGGATAATATCCCATGTGTCCTTACAAAGAGAACAGGAGCTTTCTCCTCTCTTTTGGTACTAACCATTTTACTTCTGCTCTTAACCCTCTTTGGGTACCCTCTTCTGTCTTCTGTCAGAGTCAAGAGAGAAAACTTCCTACCCTCGCCTACACTGTTGCCTTTCTTTTTCAGAGAAGACATCAGACCAGGCGTGCCCATGCTGAGGCAGATCCGAGAGGCCCGTCGAAAAGAAGAAAAGCAGCAGGAAGCTAATCTGAAAAACAGGCAGAAGAGTGTGAAAGAGGAAGAGCGGGAAAGACGTGACATCGGGTTGAAGAATGCACTAGGCTGTGAAAACAAGGGATTCGCTTTGCTCCAAAAGATGGGATACAAGAGTGGCCAGGCTCTGGGCAAGAGCGGTGAGTTGTACGTGGAAGTGGCTCAATGTTCTCCCCACTCAACTGCAGTATGCTGATGGAGACCTAAGCTGACAGTACTTTTACCAAAAAGTAAAACAGCTTAAGTTTCTTAGCATCTTTGGTGCTACAGTCCTTACAGAGTTGTCTGCTCACGGCCTTCTTAAACGCCACACATGCCGACATGAGCCACTTACCAACCCACCACCGCCTGACAGGTGGCTGACGAGGGGAGCAGTGAGGAATGGGTGCAGGTGCTGGGCAGAGAAGCACAATGAAGCAACTTTGGGGACCATCATGGGGCTCTTCTCGGCTTGCTCTGTGCCCACGGCAGCCATCAGACTGACCTTCCAGTTGAAGGAGCTGTGTTCCCTTTTGGGAAATCACACTGCTTATGAAGATGTAGTGGCTGTAAATTGTGACTTTGGTTTGCTTTTTTTTTTCTCTATTCTAATCACTTTGATTTTTCATATAGGAAGACTGTTTCCTCCTGAGATTGTTGCCCACTAAGACTGTTGTGTCCCTAATATCACTTCCTAAAATGGCATATGTGCACAGGAGAGGCAGAGGCAAATGGATCTCTGTGAGTTCAGGGCCAACCTGTGTATATAGTGAGTTCTAGGATAGTTACAGCTGTGCACTGAGACCCTGGTCACAAAAATAGATGCTAGATAGAGAGGTAGATAGGAGGTATTTGAAGTTAGGAGAGGTAATAGCTGAAAGAGAGAGCATTAGTTTGCAGAATTCAATTGGCAGTGTCATTGAGACTGGGAGGGGATATACAGAGAGCATTGTAATGTTATATACCTCGCTGACTGACCTGAACTTGGTGGTAAGTAAAATATTTCTATGTTTCTTTTTTCTTTTTTTAGGAGATGGCATTGTTGAACCAATTCCTATCAATGTCAAAACAGGTATATATAATCTTCTTATTAGTATATTAAGTAACAATAACTTAGATTGGTTTGCTTACTATGTTTTGTGATGGTGTTCTTGTATTTGGCTGTCATAGAAAGCCTATGGAATAGTAAAATGTTAAACTTTTAAATATTTTTAAAGTTGTTTTTTATAGTAAAAAATTTTAAAGTATGTTTTGGTAAAATAGAAGTCATAGAATATAAAATTTAGCCAGCCTGGTCTATAAGAGCTAGTCCCAGGACAGGCTCCAAAGCTACAGAGAAATCCTGTCTCAACAACAACAAATATATATATATAATTTAAATCATAAAAAATATGAGGGAGCCAGTAATAGTCATTTGTAGTTATACATCTGTAATCTCCGAATTTAGGAGGAAAATGGAGATGTGGAGGCTAGCCTGAGCTATATAGTGAGGCCTGCCAAAGAGTTAAAGATGAAGCCCACTGATAGACCATCTGCTCATCCAGTCCATGGCCCTGCTTCTGATCCCAGCACCACAAACCAGGGGGCATTTTTACAACTGTGGAGCACAGAACACCTTTCTTGTCGTCTGTAATGTTATCAATGGCATTTCTTAGTGTCATTCCTTGGATTAACTGAAGAGAAAACAAGCATACATTTATGAAAGTATGATAGTTGATACTATTTTCCTAATTTTTATTTTATTTATTATTTACTTACTTATTTTGTTTTGTTTGAGACAGGGTTTCTCTGTGGCCCTGGTTGTCTGGAACCCACTCTGTAGACCAGACTGGCCTTGAACCCAAGATCTGCCTGCTTCTACTTCCCGAGTACTGAGATTGAAGGCGTGTGCCACCACTGCCCAGCTCCTAATTTTTAAAAATATGTGTATCATTACTGTTTTGGATGAGACTCTGTGTTTTCTGTTGCCATTTTAATGAAATAAGCTTGGATAATTATATTCAAGTGAGAACTGCATTTAATTTCTTAAGTATTTAAATTGTCGCGTTTTGAAGTTTAAATAAAAATGAGTAAGTTCTTAAATTCCTCATCAGAAATTTTGTCTGCGACCAGGAAAAAGTGGCTTAGGTCACGAGTCATTACTAAAACGGAAAGCAGAGGAGAGGCTGGAAAACTACAGGAGAAAAATCCACATGATAAACCAAAATGAAGAAAAGGCTGCCGAGCAGTTCCGGTAAAGCGTTTTCTTTGAACTGGTTCAAATCCCCTTTATTATTCTTGGTGTTCCTTGGTGCTGGGGTATATAAAGCAGTTAGAGAATAGGGACCTTACTATACAACCCTTCTTTACTTAGGATGCGACTGAAAAGTAAGCAGGATGAGCTGAGGCTCGAAGGCGACCTGAGAAGGAGCCAGCGAGCTTGCCAGCAGCTGGACGCCCAGAAGGTAGGTGGGTAGCTCCTTCCAGTTTCCTAGAGTTTTGGTACCTGCATGATTTGGTTTATGTTTTTGTTTTTGTGATTTTTTTGAGTTTTGGTTTTTTGAGATGGGTGGACTCCATGCCTTAAAACTCCTGTTTGATGTGTACCACCTGTTGTGGTTACCGACACCCACAGCCGACTTACTCCAGGGACCTTTTTCCTGAGTTGTCTGCTAAGTGCCATTACTCAGGCCTAGAATGGATAGAAATTCTGTTCCCCATGTTTGACTAACCAGAATAACCTAAGTTTAGTCCATACTTATCACTCTGTGTATCTGTTGGGAATTTAAGGTGGAATGCTTTCATTTCAAGTAGGAGTCTTTTAAAATCGTTTTAAACAAATCTTTGCCCTTACAAAACACAGTGAGTGGTATCGAAACAAAATAACTTCACTTAAACATTGGTATGGTTTCTATATAAGTAGCTGGAAAGAATGTCCTACTACATTGTATTTTCGTGAGATATTGCCTTACATGTATTTGCTGACACGTAATGACTTCCTAGCTTATATGTATAGCTTTCTACCCATCACTCATCTTTCCCACTTGACTGACAAAATTCTAATTGCCCTTTCATGGCCTTGGTCTTTACCAGGAAATTGCACTCAGTGAATACTAATTGGAAGAACAGATTCATGTTAACACAAACATACTTAAGACACCACAAGTATACTGCGTTTTACAAGAGTAATTCTGCATTTTCAGAATATTCAGGTTCCCAGGGAGGCATGGTACTGGATAAGGCCTGAAGAGGAGACTGAGGAAGAGGAAGAGGAGGAGCAGGATGAAGACGAATACACGAGCGAGGATTTGAGTGTATGTCTGGGCGCCATTGTCTCCTCATAGCAGGAATCTTGGCCTTGGCACTGTTAGCACCTGAAGTGGGTAACTCTTTGCCATGGGCAGCATGACAGGATGTGTAGCAGTAACACTTGGCCTGAGTCTTGTCACCTGACTAGGTTCAGGGATGGAGAAAGGACAGACACAAAGATACATGTGCAGGAAAACCCGGAAAGTGTTCCCCAGCATTGCTGTATATCCCCCCCCCCCCAGGGAGAAAAGTTACCCTGCGGTGAGAGCTACTAGCCCCAAAATAAAAATTTCATATAATTCTCCATTTCACTGTAGTTTACTGAAAATTACAGATTAGCTGCAAATTTAAATGATTTCACTTGGCTTTGTTTCCTGTTAAATTTCTAAAAGTGATCCTAATGTGTACCTCATCCATTCCCCAAACAGAACAGCCAGAAGGAAGCACAGGGTGGAAGAAGGTAACTTAGTGTTAGTGCTGCCGAGCCTAACAGCCTGAGTTCTAGCCCCGGGACTCACGTGGTGGAAGGAGAGAACCGACTCCCAAATTTTCCTCTGACACACACTGCCAAGCATCTGAGACCATATACACATATGCACAATTAACTTCTAAAATATTATTATTCAGGAGCAGGTGACAGTACTCCTATAGTTACTCGAATATGGAATTTTCCTAGGTAGTAGTCACAGCCTGAAGCACACATGTATGGCTTAGTTGAGCTCTCGGAGGAATGTGGCTGAAGGAGGCAGTCTTCCATCCCTCCACCGGAGGGACAGATTTCCTTAAAAGTAAAAGAGGTCTTTGAGAATCTTAATTATCACTGGGCACAGTGGCTACTCTGGTGTCCCATGATGTGCCACTCAAAGAGGATGTTCCTGCTGGGCATGATGGTGCACACCTTTAATGCCTGCACTCAGGAGGCAGGAGCAGGTAGGTCTCTGTGAGTTCAAGGCCTGCCTGGTCTATATAGCAACTCCAGTTCAAGAGTCCATGAGACCCTGTCTTTTTTTTTTTTTTTTTTTTTTTNAAAAAAAAAAAAAAAGCAACAAAACCTCATCACAGAGCCAGCCAGAAGATGATTATTTTTTATGTTCACCAGTTGTCTCTTGTGCACAAGTGGTTAGTCAGCTGAGACATGCCCAAATATATCACCTCTGCTCTGACACCTTGAGTAATTGTTTGAGAGTGGACCAGAAGAGTTCAAGCCTGGGCCTGAACTGAGATTCAGGAGCCGAGGTTCTGGTCGACGCAAGCACTGATGCCCCTGTGTCCTCTGTCAGATGCTGGAGAAACTGCAGATACTCACTGGCTACTTACGAGAAGAACATCTGTATTGCATTTGGTGTGGGACAGCCTATGAAGGTGAGAAGATGAATTATGCTTTAAAAATACTGCCCGTGAATACTTGCTTGTTTGTAATGAAATCTGCGTGTCTTATTTATTCCATTCAATAAGCAGTGTGGGGCCGGTGCTAAAGAAATACTGACTATAGAAATACTTCGAGTTTTTATTAGAATTCAACACTTATTTTTTCAGTAACTAAATGTGCAAGAATTTTCACCATTTTATTACTCAAATAATTTCAAGTCTAAAGAATAACTTACAAAGGCTAGGCATGGGGGCACACACCTTTAAGCCCTGCCCTCAAGAGGCAGAGGCAGGTGGATCTCTTGAGTTCAAGGCCAGCCTGTCCTACAGAGCAAGTTCAGAATGGCCAGAGCTACACAGGGAAACCTTGTCTGGAAAAAACAAAAGAAAAGAGAGAGGAAGAAAAAAAGATGGGTTGGTTTTATCTTTGTGTGTTCAAAGTTTGTATGTGAGTGCTGTGACCGCAGCTCTCTGGCACAGCAAGTCCGGCCCAACCAGGGCTACATAATGAGACCCTGTCTCAACCACCTACCCCCAGCGAAAAAAAAGAAGAGGAGGAGGAGGAGGAGCAAAAAAACTTGAAAATAATGATTTTTTTTCATGCTTTATTTTTTGGAGATTCATTCTTTGATAGATGCTTGCATTAAATTTTTATAACTAATTTCTGTTTAGGCACACTATTGTCCTAACTCATTAAAATCAAGTCTGTTGAAATCCACTGTCTTTTTTTTTTTTTATTGTGAAGAAGAAATTAGTTTAACCTTTGCCAAATATTTTTTTCTTTTTTATTTATTCTTCTCTCACATATTACATCCTGACCACAGTTTCACCTCCATCCTCTCCCCCCAGTTCCTTGCACAACCTTCCTTCTCCCCCAGATCCATTCCTACTTCCTCTCCCAGATGTCTTAACTGAGCTGTTTGTCTCCTGTACTGTCCGTTTTACCTTATTAACTTGTAATTAAGAACTTTGTATCTGAGAATGAGGATTTTTTTTGTTATTTTAATCTCTTAAATTTTTATGTTGTGCCTATGGGTGCTGTGATAGATTTTCAGATAGAACATTCAGTGTTCGTGGAATCCGGAAGCAGGCCTCGGATCCCCTGGGCTTGGAGTAGACTGTTGTTAGCCACATGTGGATGCAGAAAATGGAATCTAGATCCTCTGGAAGAGCAGTCAGTGCTCTTAACCATCAAGCCAGCTCCCCAGCCCCCTGCCCCTTATTTTTTATTATTGTTTGAATCTTTCCCTCGTTTATTTTGTAGAATAAGTAACAAACATGACTGTCTAAAAATACTGCATACAATTTTCTAAAATTACTCTAAACTTGTATATATTTACCTTTTATATCTTCTACGTAAATTACAGATAAAGAAGACCTATCTTCAAATTGCCCAGGACCAACCTCTGCAGATCATGACTGAGATTGTTCCCAATAAAGTAAAAACTATCTATGCCGGTGTGGAAAGAAGGCCTTTATGTAATGCTTGATTCTTTCAGAAGTATGTTCTACTTGGGGTAAAATTGCTCACTGGCTTGGGAAAAAGTTACTGTTATTTCAGAATACAAGTATCATAGAGATGGACAATTATGATTTATGCTGGTATTGTGATGCTTGTGAGGCATCTCAACAGGTAACACGCTTAGTCACCTCTTTACTTGGGATCAGTTGAGAAATAAGCCATCATGGGAATCAGGAAATCAGTTGTCTGCCTTAGAACTTGAGGTATACTGTAATGGTAGAATGCCTGCCGAGCCTGGGCACGGCCCTGAGCTCAGTCCCAGCACCACAAGTCAGGCTTCTCAGCAGGAAGCTGAGACACAAAACACTGCCACTTTCTCTCATCAGGCTCCTTCATAGTTTGTTTTTGTTTTTTTACATACTAGTCCCAGTTCCTCTTCCTTGCTCTCCTCCCGCTCCCCTTATCCCCCCTCCCCACCACACCTACCATCTACTTCTCAGAGGGGGTAAGGCCTCCCCTGGAAAGTCAGCTAAGTCTGTCCCATCACCTCACTGAGGCAGGACCAAGGCCTAGCCCCTCCCCCGTGCCTAGGCTAAGCGAGGTAGAATCTCTTCATAGAGAATGGGCTCCACAAAGTCGGTTGATGCATTAGAGTTAGAACCTGGTCCCACTGCCAGTGGCCCCACATACTGCCCAAGCCACACCATGGATATTTACATTCAGGGGTCTAGTTCGGTCCATGCAGGTCCCACAGTGGTCAGTCCAGAGTCAGTGAGCTCCTACCAGCCCCGGTCAGCTGATTCTGTGGGTTTCCCATCCTGGTCACTTTATTCATATGGCTCTTCCCTCTCTTTGATTGTACTCTAGAAGCTCAGCCCAGTTGTTATTTGTGGATCTCTGCATCTGCTTCCATCCGTTTCTGGATTAGGGTTCTGGTGTCTCTGGGGTTGTAGACTGTAGTCTGGTTACCCTTTGCTTCATGTTTGCTATCCACTTATGAGTGAGTTAATACTAGATTTGTCTTTCTGGGTCTGGGTTACCTCACACAGGATGTTGTTTTTTTGTTTGTTTTTTTTCCGTTCTGATCATTTGTCTGCAAACTTCAAGATACCATTGTTTTTTACCACTGAATAAGTACTCCATTGTGTACATGTACCACATTTTCCTTATCCATTCTTCCCTCCTCGTTCTTATTTGGAGAAAACTACACACCTGTCCTCTGCCTGTAGAGTAAGGGCCTACCTTATGTTCTAGGACCAGTGTCTTGAATAAACAGTTTTATTCTGTTTTGTTTTCAGAATCACTAGATGTTAGCTCTCGAGAGCAGGAGCACACCGCAGGCTGAGCCAGACATGCTCAGTTCTTCACCTCAGTAGCCCCTGGGAGATAAAACACTTCTCTGCAGAAAGGAAGGAACTGAGGGGTCAGAGGCTTCCATGCTCCCGATCGTGTCTGGGGTCAGACATGAAAGTCATGGGGCTTTTTCCAAAGTCTATATTCCCAGGGCTCTCCTCTAGTGCGTTTATTTCGTCTGACCTAGGGCAATTCCTGAATATCCACTTTTCTTTTTAAATGCAAGAGTATGCAACAGCCTGCCTTTATAATTGTCAAAAAGAATAAACAGCCCAGATGTCTATTGAACACATACATAAAATGTTACACATTCATACAACAGGACCCTATTTGGCCGCAGAAAGGAATGCCTTACTGAGGCATGCTACAATGTGGCTGAAACTTGGCCACAATACTATGTAAAAATACCCCCAGAATGGTCTGTTTATTTATATGCATAGAATGGAAAAATCTATAACCAGGAGGCAGATTGGTGTTTTTAAAGAGTTGGGTGAAGATAATGAAGCTGTTAATGGATGTGGGTTTCCTTTGAGGTGACAAAAAAATGTTTGAAAATTGAGTAAGTATTGATGCAAGTCTGAATAAACACGATTTAGTTGTAGGTGTTGGAGAAATGAATTGTATACAATGTGAATTATAGCGCACAACATTTTTTCTATGTTTATTAAGTTAGGTGATTTGAGTGTGGATATGGGTGTGGGCGTGTGTACCATGGGACGTGAGGAGGTCAAGGACTACTTGTGTAAGTTCTTTCCTACCGGGCAGGTGCTGGGGATCGAACTCAGGTCATCGGGCTTGGTGGCAGGTGCTTTTACCTGCTCAGTCATGTCACTGTCCCGAAAACTTGCTGTTTGTTTAAGTTGAGGGTGATTTCAGGTACAAACAATTGGAAAGACTTTGAGGGCCAGAGCATGTTCTGTTCAGGTCTGTGTAGCTGGGCCTTAATCCGGTAACCCCAAGCATAGGATCCATGACGGCAAGCCTCCAGGGTGCATAGTTGCTGAATCTCATTTTGAGTTTCTGGCCTCCCATACTGCAATAAGTGTATATAGTGTAGATGACCGGGTCTGTGCTAACATGTTGCAGCTATGGGAAATTAAAATACACCACAACTAAATTAACATCAGCAGGGCTCTACGTATTCCAGAAGCATTTTGCTCGCCTCTCATTACTACTACAATTTCCAGTTAGAACTGAAGACAGTGCTAGTGTAGCTACATCCATCTAACCGTGGGGGCACCATGAGCCACTTCTGAGTGGAGGACACGCTATAGACACGACTAGTTCCTCCAGCAGATGCTGAGAGAAAAGAAAACCAGGGCGTATGCTATAGAGTCAAAGGATGTGTCAGCCAAGGAACCTTGGGTCCTCCTGATTTTAAGCAACTGTACAAAGACAGTCTTGAGGTTGTACAATTGATCCAGACTAATTATGTGATAATTATATTTCTTAGTTTGTCTGAGTAGCAGGGACATGTGTGGTTTTGTTAATATTACAAAGAACTTGTCTGTTACAAATCAACCTTTAAATAATAACTGGAACACTATAATGCCTGAGAGTCACTGTAGAATTTTCCAGCCAAAGAAACAACGGAAGAGATAGGTGTAACAGACGTAAAATATTCTTTGCTAAAACTGTTTAATGTTACACACACTCTCCTAATTCTTGTCTATGAGTTTAAAAAATTATGAGAATTAATATTGAATGAAAATATCTTCTGTTATAATAAAATGTAAACATGCCTAAGAGCCCCATGCTTTGGTGAACCATCAAGTGGGGAATGGATGATGTAAGTCTGTCTAGTGAGTCTGCAGATGATGACGTGGAGAAGCTGGCATTCAGGTTTCTCATGTCACATGTAGATAGGTACACAGGTGTCCTTAACAGGCATGCAGCCTGTATGGTTGTACTAGACCATTCTCAGAAGTCCCCCACACTTAGCCAATTAAAAAACATCTTACATTTCATTTCAAACTGGGTCCCACAAATTATGCAACTAGCCACACACACACATATATATATAGTGTATATTGTGTATGTATACTATGAATATATTTGGTATAATTTTATGTTAAGTTCACATGTCTTTATATATGTGTGTTTGTTATGTGGGTATATGGTCTCACATGAAATGGTATGTTTGGTCTGTGGTAAAAATTCTAGTGATACAACTAGATGTTTTTTTTAAAAGCTAGACCTGGAATTAGCAGGTGAGGTTCTACTTTGCCCCACTATTGCTATAACTAGGAATATACTTTTTATTTCCTGGCTTTTGTAGACTGAAAAAATACATCTTCAGAAGTAAATAATAGATGCTGAGATAATATACTAGGAATATACTTTTTATTTCCTGGCTTTTGTAGATTGAAAAAGTACATCTTCAGAAGTAAATAAAAGATTCTAAGAGATAATATACTTATTCCATAGTGTGAAAATACCAGTAATGGAGGGGAAATCTACTCTCACTGCACACATTATTTGGTATTCCTCTTAAATGCAGCTTCGTTCATTAAAGCAAGATAATATTAGTTTGTTTTTAAAGAGATTTCATTCCACCTAGAAAAAATTAAAAAAATATATCTCTGCCTATATTTGCCAAGGGTTAGCATCACAGGTCCTTTCTTTTTTTCCCCTTTCTCTGTAACTCCAGCTTCAGGGGGTCCAGTGCCTTCATTTGGTATTTACTGTTACTGCACTCACAAAGACATGGACAGACAGAAATAAACATTTATTAAAAAAATAGTTCCAGTCGAGAGGCAGAGGCAGGCAGATCTCTGTGACTTTGAGGCCAGCCTAGTCTACAAAGTGAGTTCCAGGATAGCCAGGGCTACACAGAGAAATCCTGTCTCGAAAAACAAAAAAAAAATTATTCCTTCAATCTCTCTCTCTCTCTCTCTCTCTCTCTCTCTCTCTCTCTCTCTCTCTCTCTCTCTCTCTCTCTCTGTGTGTTACATTGTCTTTTCAAAGAAAACAAATTATCTAAGAATAATCACATTCAGGATTTGCCAAATAATTTCCTCATGATTGTAACTAGGTTATGAATTTGGAACAAAACTAATTCTGATATGACATTGGGGGCCGCACATCATGAGGTGATGATAGATTGGATCGCACTGTTATGGTTATTGTGGTCTCTGCTGGAGAGATGTGTGGCCACCTGTTTAAACTCCTGCCGACATTCTCTTTGCAGCCTTTCTCACTCTAGTTCAGCATCCTATGACGAAGCTTCCCTTGCCGCACTCAGAGTCCCAAACAAACCCCAGGCTACACACCTCACAGAAGTGCTTCTCTTATTGCTGCTCATCGCTGGTAGCCCACATTTGGATCGCTGTCAAAACTGTAAAATGACGTGAGTTTTGTAATGGTGATGCACTGCTTGGAAGTTTACACAGACCCTCAAGGTCTCTGGGGATGCAGTCCACATTATCTTCCACTATTTCCTGCTGCTGCTGGGGCCAACGTCGTCCCTGCCCAGTGTTCCCTGTGTGCATTCTTTCCAGTTTTCTCTGCCCCTCACTCACCCGGCCCAGCTGTTCTCTCTACTCTTCCAAATCTTTCGTGTTCTTGGAAGTCTCTTCAGTGTAATTTCCAAGCCCTCTATTCTATAGGAAGTGATCTTGTCTGTCTAGTAAACAGCTTCCTGTTCCTAGCCCTGCCAACAGCACAGCCATCTTCCTTCAGGGCTTTGTTATAATAGATACAGAATGTACTTAAGATAAAAAGACTAATTGAGAATCTTCTTTCTGACCGCATCCCCTCCTCTAGCTAACCACTTGGAACTCTCGTGTGGCTTCCCCCTTTATCCACCTTTTCCATCTCACCATATTTGTAGAGTGTCGAAAAAATTTTAAAATAATTGTTTATGTGTTCTGGAATGTGATGTGAACGCTTTCTTCTGTACACATTTTCAAACTTGTTTACTGACAGTTATGCTGTTAATATGCTGTTAGTACATTCAGCCTCACTTTATTCGTTCTCCGATATGTAAACAAAATTTTAAATCCATTCTCTTTTCCAGTGTGTTATGGGTACTTCTTGTTGCCATGGCTTCAATAAGCACTATGTTAGCTACTTTTCGTGTCACTAAAAACCCAACAGTTGCAACTTGAAGCAGAGGAGATTTATTTTGACTCAACAATTCTTCATGGCAGAAGAGATTTGGCAGAAGCCTGAGTTCCTGGTGGTGGTGGTGGTGGTGGTGGTGGTGGTGTGTGTGTGTGTGGGGGGGGGCGTTCAAGTCCCTGTTGGCTCATGGCCGTCTCCTAATCCAAAATGCTTCCAGGCCTACCTCAGGAGTTCCCAGAGTCTTATTAGTCAACACCATTCAAAATTCCAAAGTGCTTTGAGAAGCAAAGGAGAAACTTTCACCTCTGAGTCCCTATAAAACAATTATTACAGCCGGGCAAAGGTGGTGCACACCTTTAATCTCAGCAGAGGCAGAGGCAGGCGGATCTCTGTGAGTTCGAGACCAGCCTGGTCTACAGAGCTAGTTCCAGGACAGGCTCCAAAGCCACAGAGGAACCCTGTCTCAAAAAAATAAATAAATAAAACAATTATTACAGCATACAAACAAGCAAAGGAAAATCCCCATTCTAAAAAGTAAGTCTGGGAGAACAGCAAGGAAAGACTGGTCCAATGCAAAAGTAAATCAACGCAGGACCAACAAAGGCTGCATCTCAGTGTTTGGTATCTGGAATATACACAGTGGCATCATCTGAGCTCCACTGGGCTGGCTCCCGTCAGTGACTGCTCCTTCAGCAGACATTCTATGTTCTTGTCATCTCCAATGTCCCAGGGTCTGTCTTAAAACTTGGGTTTCACCTTCATAGCTTCAAAGCCTCTCAGAGCCTTTCTTCAAGAAATCTGACCACCGTGTTGCACACAGCTCTCACAGGCTTCTTCTGGAACCATTGGACAAGCATCTCTGACCCCAAGACCGTTGTGTTCTGCTCTCATGTAAAACCAGCATGGATGGTGCCAAGTCCTGCTGCCATCTTGAAATGTAAACGAGCCATCCAGGCCATGGCTGCAGCATTATCTGACGTCCCACACAGCTAAAACAGAAAGACCGCTCCTCTAGGTATCCCTGCTTGAACTTCTGACATGAAAGGCCTTCAGGGGGCTTTTCATTTTCACACTGTATAGCCTTCCATGGGTGTAGTCTTGTTCCTATAATGCCAGCAGTGTAAAGTGCATGGCTCCTCTTCAACAGCACTAATCTCTAATTATTGCCACTTTGCACCTACCTTGACTTTGAAGTTCCTCGTTTCCCAAATCTTCATGCTCTTTCACATCTCCTATTCCTCTTTCTTTCCTCATTTACGCTATAACCCTGGCTAAAAGCAGGAAACAGCCTCCATGCCCTAGTCTGAATGTTTTGGAATTTCCTCCAGGTTCCAGTGAGTTCCTGTCTCTTTCACTTTATATTCCTCTCTCTGCTCAGCCATAACACTTCTGTCTCCACCTCCCTAGTACTGGGATTAAAGGGGTGGGACCCCAAGTGCTGGGATTAAAGGTGTGCACTATCACTGCCTGGCTTGTATGGCTAACTAGTGTGGCTGCTTTGCATTTTGATCTTCAGGCAAGCTTTCTTTAATAAAACAAATAGGATTTCTTCAACCTGCAGCTCCAAACTTTTCCACATTCCTCCCACAAACCAGCTCTGAAAGCTTAAGAACCACGTGGCAGGTTTATTGCAACAAACCTTGCTTCTGGTTCCATTTCATGGCTTTCTCATCACAGCGACTACCTGAGAGAGGCAACGTAAGGACAAAGAGATTTATTTGGAATCCCAAAGTCAGAAGCTGCAGTTCACATGATAAGGCATGCGCAGCAGAGGGCATAGTTCATGTTGGGTGTCCGAGGAGGGTGGAAGTGAGTATGGTCGGAATACAATACATGGATGGAATTGTCAAAGATTAACTTTAAAAACGTTCTTGAAATAAAAACTTTTGTGCAAGTTTTTCTTTCCTTAAGTTTCCTAAAACGTAAGTACAGTATCTACCAATGTTCCAGCTCAGACTAGGTAGCACAAGGAAGGCCATATGTCCAAAGTGGAACACTTTCAGAAGGCCCTAATGTGTGTGTCTTTTCTTTTTCTCTGAGTTGTTCTTCCATTCAGCCAAGATGCTCAGAATTTCAGATGTACTAGGTCGTTCCTTGGGTTCCTTCAAGAGCAATCTCCTTAGAAGGTTTTTCTGTAATTATAAATTAGAGTCAGTGCTAAGAAAGAAAACAGTGGAGAATATAAAACCAATGACTTTCAAATGCTTACTTCTTTGTTGTCAAATGCATTATCGGGGAAGATGCCTTCTCTTAGCATTTGGAAAAACTGAAATACAACAAATAGAAGTATTTCCTAAGAAACAATTTATATGGGAAGAAAAACTAAATACACTTATGACTGGAGATACATTAAATCTAGAATAGTTCTTAAATTTAGGACTCTTTAGTCAAGAAGCATGCAGAACTCTCCTCCCTGGACCTACCCCGATCTGATAACCATCCTTAAGATCCATGCTCTGAAGGGCTGAGTGCAGGAGGCCCATCACTTCCCTTCTGTTCTGGGATGCTAGGCAGTGCATCTTTTCATCATCCCTCTTTTAGGGAAGATAAGGCTGTTTTGACTCCAGGCAAACCAGGAGTCTGCTGTCTCCAGTGCTGCCCCACCACCTACCCACCGACATAAGCCCAAAGGCTTTCCTCAGTGTAGCCCAGCCTTCTCTCCAGCCCCACCAATCATTGGCTTCAGATAAAACCACCTTGCCTGCTATTCCCAACACACACTGCACACTCGTATCTCCATGCTAGGCTTACATGCTTTCTATTTCAACTATTAGAATGAACTAAGCCAGGTTAATTGTCTTCTGACCTCCATTAGCATGCCATAGCATGTGGACATATGCACACATTAGTGTGTGTGTGTGCATGTGCATATATGCCCTTAAATAAATAATCTGAAAAAAAACTTTATCTTTCAGTACTCAAGTTACATGTTTCCTAAACCTAAATTCAGATTTCTGGAGATATCTTTCAGCTCCTTCTGCAGACTTTCTGTCTTCTAAAACACTTAATCATTTTTGGCTGTTATCTTTCTTCTTAGAAAATTAATCCTTTGAGAAACTGACTGGTTTTTATATTCATGTAGCACTTAGAGCAGAACTGCCCTCTAATCAGTGAAATTTTGTTGGCACACATAAATACAAATCTTATGGGATATACACATATTCTATAGAAAGCCTTTTTTTATTTATAGCAAAATGGTTGTCCACACTTGAAAGAGGAAGTTTATCCTTCACTTACAAGCAGAGTCATGAGGTTAAACACACCCTCACCGAGTGGCGGGCAATAGCGTTAGTGCCTGAAGGGTGACAACCAGCGCTTTAATCTGCTTAGTTCTCCCTTGGAATATTTACCTTTGATCTTTCTGTAAAGGTGATGCATATATGCAGAAGTTCCGCTAGAATCAGACCTAAAGCAAAGATGTCCACTTCTTTTCCATATTCCTGTAAAGATAGCTGGAAGCCAAAATACATTTGTCTTTGTTACTCACCTAATATAAGTTTCTATGTCTTCTGATAAAAAAGCTATAAATTATATTAATATATAATATATTTGATGTAATCATCAAAATGTTTATTCTGTATCTCATGGAGTTGACCACTAAAATTAACCATCACGTAGAAACAGAGGGAACACAATAAAGGCTATATAAAACAAATCTATAGCCAATTTTATACTAAATGATAAAACTAGGAGCATTTCTACCAACATTAAGAGTGAGACAATGGGATGTACTTTCCCTTTCTCTACCCATATTCAATATAGTTCTTCAACTCTTAGCTGGACAAGAGAAAGATATAAAAGAATTCAAATAGAAAAAGAAACCAAATCCCCACCGTTAGACAACACTATCCTGTACAGAAGAGATTCTAAAGATTCTACCAAAAACATAACTGAACACAAAGTCAACATTCAGAAATCAGTAGTTTTGGGGCTGGACAGATCACTCAGCTTTTGCAAGTACTCTCGTTGTTAGCAAAGAACCTGAGTTCAATTCCAACACCTATAAGGTGATTTGTGACTCCAGTTGGAGGGGATCAGACACCTTCTCTGGCCTCTGTCGATACCAGGCATGTACATGGTACACTTATATGAATATGAAGGAAAACTCATACACATGAAATAAATATTTTTTAAAAAAATCAGTAGATTTTCTATATTTTAATAATGAACCGCTAAGATAATTAATCTTATTGATGATAACTTCAAAATATTACTTGCTGGATGTAGTGGTGGACACCTTTGAGCCCAGCACTTGAAAAGCAAAGGCAGGAGGATCTCTAAGTTTGAGGTCAGCCTGCTCTACAGAGTGAGTTTCAGGATAACCAGGGCTACACAGAGAGACCCAGAACTCCTGTGCTGGTAAATCAGCAAAATTAACATGGAAGATTTGTAGACGTGATCTACAAAATCACAGTAATCCCCATTAAAATTCCAATACCATCCTTAACAGAAAGGAAAAAAATCTTGAAATTCACATAGAAGAATAAAAAAATCCTAGACAGTCAAAAAAATCCTAAGCAAAAAGAACATCATTGGAGATATCACTAAATCTGATTTTAAGTTATACTATAGACACATAGTAACAAAAAACCTGGCCGGGGGGGGGGGGGGGGATTACACAGAAGAAACATGTGAACTAGTGGAGTAGAATAAATAAAAGACCCAAAATGAAACTCACATAGCTACCTTATTTTGACAAAGATGCCAAAAGCATACATTGTAGAGAAGAGCATCTTCAACAAATGATGCTGGAAACTGGAGTCATTTCCCATTCTCTCTCTCTCCCTCTCTCCCTCTCTGTCTCTCCCCTCTCCATATATGTGTGTATGCGCTCATGTGAGCGCGCACCTGGGGTCTATGTACACAAAAATCATTTCAGAGTGGATTAAAGACCTAAAAGTGTGAAAGTGTCAGAGATAATACGGAGAAACATTATAAGATATGCAAGCATAGACAAGGACTTTTTGGAAAGGGCTCTAACATCCCAGAAAATAATATCAAGATTTGACAAATGTAATTGCATGAAATTATTCTGAGTCAACACACAACAGAGATACTTGATTATCCATAGTTCTATTCACAATAGTCAAGTTATGGGATCAGCCCAAGTGGCCATCAGAAGATGTAAGGATAAAGAAAACGTGATATGTGTGTGTGTATCTCTGTGTGTGTAGTGGTAGGTATTTTGTGTTTTAACAAAGTTTGCCTGAAGATTGGAGTGCAGAGCTAAGCCACTAGAGGCCGGGGAGTAGAGCACATACATGCCTTTAATCCCAGGACCCCAGAGACAGAAGCAGAGGGATCTCTGTTGGTTCAAGACCGCCGTGGACTACACAAGACTGAATCTGTCTAAATGAGAAATAGAGCTCACACAAAGGTGATCCCAGCACTTGGGATCCCACACCTTTAATCCCAGTACTCAGGAGATGGAAGCCGGAGCAATATGGCTGGACAGAGAGAGAAAAATATAAGGCCGGAGGGACAGGAGCTCAGTGCAGTCTGAAGCAGTCTGAGAACAGGATCACCCCTTTGGTCTGGGCACTGGTAGAGGTAAAAGAACTCTCTAGTAGTTGGCACTTTGCTTCTCTGATCTTTCACCTTTCACCCCTAATATCTGACTTAAATATATATATATATGTATGAATGTATGTATGGTGGAGAGCTATACCTGATACCCTTACACAACCTCAGATTTCCATATGTTCATGCACAAACATCCACACACATGTACACACACCTACATGAATTTGCACATATACCACATGCACACACACAAGAAAATAAAGAAGTAAAATTTACACAGAAAGAAAATAAAAGGACTTTACCTGCTCTGGACTCATGTATAGAAGACTTCCTGTATGCTTTGTTCGATTTCCATCATTTTCCATTTGGCCTGTTACGAGGCCGAAGTCTCCAATCTTTATGTGCTTTTCATCTACTAAAAATATATTACCTGGCTATAGAAAAGATTAATTAATATATGTTATTTGGACCAACTATTACCACAGGTCCCAACAACCTTTTATACTGATTTGTTGACATTTCTCCTTACACGGGCAGCCCAAACTAGGGAATTTAACACTTTGGAATTTTAAAATGCCAACTGAAGAAGAAAAGACTTTGAAATGACAGCAAAGGGGTCTTGGTTCACACCTGCCTCCAAATATCAAAACAGAAGAAGTGGAAGATTTCAGGGTCCCAGGAGAAGGATCCAAGGTAGGCATGGGTAAAAATATTTTCTTTCCTCCACAGCAATCTAGTGAGAGGCTCAAGGAATGGGAGTTTGAACTCCTCACCCCAGAAGAGGGCTGGACATATCCCGAGGGCATGCTACTGGTGTAATTTAGGGTCTGATGGGAATTAAAACCCTTTCCAAATTTGAGAGTCTCTGAATGGCTCAGTTCTCAGCAATGCTGCAAGATGTCCCGTGCAGAATTTCTCCCAGATTCTGACAAGAGTTTATAAGTATACCCCCTCCACCTTGTTAAGAGTAAACACCCTACACCTTGTTAAGTGTATACCCCCTTCCACCTTGTTAAGTGTATACACCCTCCACCTTGTTAAGTGTATACACACTCCACCTTGTTAAGTGTATACCCTCTCCACCTTAAGTAGAAGCTGGGATTGATCACAAACACATTCTCTATGCGTTTCCTTTGGTTTTGTTTTGGTTGCTTCTGTTGTTTGGGCTGGGGTAGCTATTGTTTGGTTGTTGTTTGATTTGGTTTATAGGGTCTCACATATCCCCTGTCAGCCTCAAACTCAGTATGTAGCCAAGGATAGCCTTGAACTTTTGATCCTTCCACCTCCACCTTTAGATTAAGAGGATGAGCCACCATGCCTGGTTTACACATACGGCTAGGGATCAAATTCAGAGTTCCATAAATGCTAGGCAAGAATGCTAACAAATGAGCTGCATCTCTAGCCACTCTGAGATACAATACTAAACATTTAAAATGTGTGTATGTATCTTGGTGTAAAGGATAATTTTGTATTGTCACCTCTCTATTTACGCCTTCATGTGGGTTCCATAAATTGAACTTAGATCACTAGTCTTTTACCATAAACATCTTTACCCACTGAGCCATCTCACGGACCCAAATGTGTATATATGTGCATTGCGTGTGCAAATGCACACATAACAAATAAATAGTGGCCACGTGTATTACATAACTCTAGACAACACACACTGAAAATAAGAGTATTGGTGGTGACAAAGATAATATTTTTGCCAAAACTAGACATTCAATACAATGTTAGGCTAAACACACACACCTACAAGAGGGCCTAGCTAAGAAATGAGGGATGAGCTGAGGAGCCCAGGAGAGCGCTTCTGAGAAGCCCTGTGCAGAAATTAGCAATGGAATTCAAGTTTAATCAGTGGATTAGAACTTAAAGTCAGTAATGGAAGAAGGATATTCGTGTGCGGTGGACATGGGGAAACAATGTTCCCAAGCTAAACTGAAGTTACAGCAACAGAGCTTTGCTGTGCCCACAAATGAAACTGCTACCCTAATACAGCTGCAGCCTAACTCAGAAACAGAAGACTGAATTTGTGTAAATATCTATGAGACAAGGAGAAACAGAAGATTACTTTTTATTAAAAAGAAAAAAAAAACAAACCTAGTATTGTGGCACAGGCACTCAAGAGCAGAGGCAGGAGAATCTCTGTGAGTTGGAGGCTAGCCTGGTCTACAGAGTGAGTTTCAGCACAGTAAAGGGCTACACGGAGAAACCCCGGTTTAAAAAAAACTAAAAAAAGAAAATAAAATGTTTTAAATAAAGAAAAAAAAGATGTTCTTCTGTCTTATTTAGTCACTTATACCATGAATAAATGAAATGCAAGGTTATAGAACAGGAGGAAATGTGCCAACCTTATCCAGGGAGCAGAGGCTAGGTTCAATGATCTGCAGAGCTGACCCCTCTGGCACAGAGACAAGATACAGAGAAGCAGAGAACGCCCTCTCTCTAGAAACCGTATGGCCGTACCGCTGTGGCCTGGAGCTCAAGACTCTAACATAGGAACAAGTCAGCTCTTGGAGACCTCAAGTAAGAATGGTTTTTTAAACATCGTTCTCTGGGAGACAGCTGCAAGCACATCTTTCTGATCCTTTCTGAGATGGGAGGAAGAAGCATTGTAGTAGAAACGTCAGAGAGAAGAGGGCAGAAGGACCTCAGATCCGGAAGAACCACATAATCCTGTGTATGATTTATACCAAAGTGAGGGAAAGTGAATAAAAACAAAAACCAAAATGTTTTTAGATAGGATCTATGTTTGTAGACCGGGCTAACCTCAAACTCATAATCCTCCTGCCTCAGGCGCTGAGATGTTGGGATTACTAGTACATGCCATCCATATGGTCCTCATTTATCTGTTGGAACATAACATTCCTAAAAATCTTCTAACTTTTAAGCACATTTTTAGATATTGCTACAGAGAAATATTAGAATGGGAGGACTCAGATATCAGGTTGCTAAGTTCACAAATGCAAGGCGAACAGAACTCAAGTGCTTTGATGGGCACTTCATTCTAGCTTGGTTCAGCAAGTGGCTATAAACAGGGCCACTTATTTTTCCTAGGAACTTTTTGAATCATTAATCATTCTGGCTGTTTTAGACAGGTGGAGCACCCAGGTAGCCAAGATTCACTTCACTTTTCTGCCTTAGAGCAGAAAAGGCAGAGGCTTAGCGATCCAGAAAGGTTAAGTAAAGGAATCAGGACCAAAGAGGACAGTCAGAAGCATGCATATCTGGTGAAGAACATGAACGAAGCTGTCAGAAAGAACTCGCGTGAATTGTGGTAGGGTTGTGATAAGGAAGGCAATTGCGGAACTCCTTGGTGTCTCTCCTTTCTTGCTGATGGAAAGGGAAAACGGGAAACTCGCTGTCAGATCATAAAAGCAAACAGACCAAGAGGGATGGCGAATATTTGAAAGCGTAGGGTTTTCCTAATTATGGGGGAGAAGACTCCAATCAGGAAAACACTAAGGCCAGGCCGTGGACTCCTCAGCTGCATGTGCCCTCAGGAACAGCAGGTGAACCACCATGGAGCAGAAAAGCGCAACAGCAGAAGCGGGATCCAAGCAGCGGGCCATCCCTGGCAACCACCACAGTTAAGGGTCCGAGCAGCGGGCCATCCCTGGCAACCACCACAATTGGGGGTCCGAGCATCGGGCCATCTCTGGCAACCACCACAGTTAGGGGTCCGAGCAGGGCCATCCCTGTCAACCACCACAGTTAGGGGTCCCAGCAGCGGGCCATCCCTGGCAACCACCACAGTTAGGGGTCCGAGCAGCAGGCCATCCCTGGCAAACACCACAGTTAGGGGTCCGAGCAGCGGGCCATCCCTGGAAACCACCACAGTTATTTTCAGTCTATGAAAGGGAGCTGCTACTGTTTACACTTAGACAATGACCACCACACTAAATACAGCCTGGAGGGAACAGGACTTCTGATAGGGTCATGTCACAGTGGGTTCCCGGGACCCGGAGATCTGCTGAGCAGTTGTATGGGATGGCATCTGGGGTAAGTTCCAGACCCTGTTTAAGTCCAGCAAGCTAGAGAAATGTTCTTTTATCATGACTGACTGCCAAACACAAACTGAAAACAGAGAAAATAGACTTTAAAGTCATTAAACTGTGTGTTTATCAACTAACAAAGCACATTTCCCTTACCTTAAGGTCTCTGTGAATCAAAGCTTTTGAATGTATATATTTCACCCCTGTCGTTATTTGTTCAAAAAATTCCAAAAGTAAATCTTTGTCTGTTTTCTTCTGCTCTTCTTCCTTTGCCATCCAGTCCTCCAGAGTTCCTTTATCGCAGAATTCCATTTGAATGAAAAGGCACTGGGTCTTTGATCTGGACACAAAATTCACCAAATGTTAAAAGCAGCAATAGAGAAAAAAATTAAAAATTCTAACATCTTATGAAACACAAACAAAACATGTCTCAGAATGAGTATCTGGATATGATAAACATGTAATAAAACAAGCCACTTTATACAAATCATAATTTCTCAAGTGTACAGAGCTTCAAAGGTTTATCTATAAAGTATAAACCTATATATTCTTTTTTTAAAAATATTTATTTATTTATTACGTATACAATGTTCAGTCTGTGTGTATGCCTGCAGGCCAGAAGAAGGCACCAGGCCTCATTACAGATGGTTATGAGCCACCATGTGGTTGCTGGGAATTGAACTCAGGACCTTTGGAAGAGCAGGCAATGCTCTTAACCGCTGAGCCATCTCTCCAGCCCAAACATATATATTCTTTAATGCTGAAGATCGCTGATCACTTTTGACAACAGATATGAGCAGTCCTAATTGCAGAAATCCAGGTTTTCCATTATTATATAAAGCAATTTAGAAGCATTTTAAGTCATCTTCAGTTAATTCAAAATCTGTTTTACAAAGGGCACAGAACAGGCACCTTAAAAATGAGAAAGTGAGTCAGGTACTATCCTTATTATCATGGGGACAGAGTCCCAAACACGAGGTTAAAAAAAATCCCAAGATGACAGACCATTGAGAAACTCCTAAAGATGGGCCAATGAATCAATTGCTGTAAGACAGAAGTCGGAGGACTGATTTTGTTAACCAGTTTTTATTTTCTTCTGAACTAAGTTGGCTTGATATTAAATTTATATTTTCCGAACACACACATGCTAGAATATATGAAGATGTAGCCAATAATTCCCTCAAAGATAACAAAACCTTTTATCTCCTGTTGGTCAGTAACGCCTAGAGTTCTCAAGAGCACATGGAGATGGGACACTGGCAGGAGGTGGTGAATGATGAGGTCTCCATTGGCATGAGAAGGCTGTCCCCAAGAAACCTCAATGACTTTCAAAGGCAAAAGCCAGTTTTTTTAGAATTCCCAGTCCTATAAAAGGGGCTGAGACAAAACAAAGAAAGCACCAGGGATGCCAGCAGGGTATGTCCAGCCATAGCTCACCACTCCACCACAGTGCTACAGATACATTCCAGAGGTGCACTGCCAGGAGCCTCTGAGAAGAGAGACAGGCAAGTTTCAACAGCAGAAGAGAAGGCCTTTGGATTCAGCATCTATACATTAAGTCTGTCTTAACTCTGACAAACCGTATATGACCTACACTGGTTCTATGGAGAACAGTGGAGTCATGAATGCAGGACATGGGATTTTTAAAACAACTAAGGAAATTTTAAAGGTTTTTTTTTTAAAGATTTATTTCCAAATTACGTGTCTGTGTCTCTGTGTGGGTATGTGTACATGAATGCAGGTGCCAACAGAAGCCGGATGATACCCTAGAATTGGAACTACAGATGGGCGTGAACCACCTGACATAGTTGCTTGACCCTCTACAAGAGTGATTCATGCTCTTGACCACCGATCCATCTCCCCATCCCCTTAAAAGTATTTTTTAAAGCAACTTTGAGCTAAGCATACTGCAATGTGCCTGTGCCTGGGATATCACATCGGTTGGGGGCTGAGGCAGGCAGACCTCCCTGAGGTTAGTATGTGCCATGTAGTGAGTCTAAAACAAAGAAACTAAAACAAGTTCAGAAGATAGAGAGGAACAGGGAGGGCAAGGTCATTCGTTGTCGCCTTGCCTGTAGAACAAAAGAACACAGTGTCTTTCAGAGGTGGCTCTGATCATTACATGTGATGACCAATTAAATGTGACCATTAAATGTGATGGCCCTCACAAAATAATGACAAGGGCCTTCCATCCCATTGCAGCTGTGAGAATCTCTTCTTACCGACTAGAATCGCTATCCACACTCTGCTCGGGATCATAGTCCTCTCCCGGCCAACAAGTATGGTATTGAACAATGTTGACGTGATTGAGCCTTGCCAGCGCTGTTACTTCACGCACAGTCTTCCTAGTAAAAGCACCCAGAAAACAAATGTGTTATTGCCTATTGTTGATAATTACAGAACTCGTCAGGTAATGGGACGCAACCTCTGTTCGATAGTCACAATGGCTCCCACACTAAGTTTTAGCAGGATAGCCAGAACTCAAGAGGGAACAAAAGGGATTGAGTGCATAGAACTATGGTTGTTCTCATTCTCAACATAAAAGTGGCTTAAATGACAGACATCTAAAATTTAAACATCATTTGTATCTTAAGTGTCTATAACACAATTTTCAGTAACTATATCATATCTGATATTCTGTGTAGATGTGTCTCAAAATCTTGAAATTTTACAAGCGAATCTCATTTGGGCAACAAAGGCAGGTAACCCAGGCAGCAAGCAGAACCCAACTTAGAACTTTCAATGTATGACAAAAATACAGGGCTAGGGCTCAAGAGCTAAGACACTGTAATAGTTTCTTGAAATTACACTGTAATGAATGGTTTTATGTCAACTTGACACAGCTGGAGACATCAGAGAGGAGAGAATTTCAAAACGGGAAAAACTGAGAAAACCACCTTAAACCAACTAAGTCAACAGTTTCAGGGTCCAGTACTGTCTCAACATGAGGCAATCATAAATATATATATATATAGCCGGGCGATGGTGGCGCACGTGTCTGTGAGTTCGAGACCAGCCTGGTCTACAGAGCTAGTTCCAGGACAGGCTCCAAAGCTACAGAGAAACCCTGTCTCGAAAAACCAAAAAACAAACAAACAAACAAACAAACAAACAAACAAACAAACAAACAGAGATCCACCTGCCTCTGCCTCTGCTGGGATTAAAGGCGTGCGCCACCACTGCCAGGCTAGAGGCAATCATATTTTTAAACTGAAAGAAATACCCACTGTAAGGTGAGGCCATTTCAGAATAAGCCAAACTCCTGTGGGCACAATGAAAAGTTAAAGAGGAGAAGAAACAAGTAAGTGAGTAATGAAGGACAGATATATAAAGAATATATTCACAAAAGCCAGACATTCACTTACTCTGTGTTATATTTAACACGCTTTATAGCATAAGTCTTCCCATCAATTTTGTGTTTTGCTTTGAAAACTTGGCCAAATCCACCTGAGCCAATTTCTTCTATGTCTTCAAAATCCTTCTGAAACCTAGTCAAGATTGATATTGCTGTCATTGCTGAGGTTTAGTAAGATGAAAATGATTCTTTCTTACTTGTCTTTAATAACATTTGGTAGAGCTCTTGAGTCACAAAACAATGTCTTCTTCCCCTTCTCTCCTCTTTTGATGGAGAAGTCAATAAAACAGATCATCCCCTCTGGCTGTACATAGGACACACTGAAGTACCCTTTTCATTGAGTACAAAGAAGATGAGAAATTTCCCCCTACCCCCATGTATTAAATCTAGAAAGAATCACTCAGTTGTGTGCCACAGGTACCAGAGGGAAAGCAGAAGCCCTGAGCGTTCCTTGGGCCAGAACAACCTGCTTCTTCCCCTCCTTATGTCCCACATCCAATCATTGAGCACCGCTCCTCCTTCTAGCCCGTGTCACTACCTTCTGCCCACTCTTCTCCACTTCCAGCATCCTCCTCCAGGCTCGGCCCTCGGGCTCCTGCAGGGGTGGCCTGCTGACTGATACCCCGCTTCTCCTTCTTTAGCTATGAAAACTCGGTCTGATCAGTTCTCCCTGTCACCTATTCCTCCTCCAGCTTTGCCTTTGCATTCAGCAAAGAACAGGAAAACGTTAAATGGCCCACAAGGTGCCATGCAGCGCTGTCCCCACTTCTCTTCCAACCTCATCCCATCGCGCTGTGTCCTTGTTCATTACACGTCAAGCACGTGCTTTCTCCACAGAAGGCTGACCTCGGGGCTTTGTTTCCATTTTCATCAGACAACTGTTCTTCCTTAACTTTGGTCTGATTATGTAATTACAATTGTATGTGTATCATATAAATATGTGGATACAGATCATGTAACTACAAAAACACATATATGTCTGTGTGTGGGTGTGCACATATGTGTATGCACGTGTGTGTGTGTGTGTGTGTGTGTGTGCGAGAGAGAGAGGGAGAGAATGCGTGTGTAAGCCAGAGATTGATGACAGCAGTCTTTCTCAGTGACTCTGCACCTTTGTTTTTTATTTTGCTTTGTTTTGTGAGACAGGGTTTCTCTGTAGTTTTGGAGCCTGTCCTGGGAACTAGCTCTTGTAGACCAGGCTGGCCTCGAACCCACAGAGATCCTCCTGTCTCTGCCTCCCGAGGGCTGGAATTAAAGGTGTGGGCCACCACATCCATCTTAACACTTTATTTTTTGAGACAGAATCTTTCTTTCATTGATCTTGGAGCTCACTGATGGCTATGCTGGCTGGCCAATGAGTGCCATGAGGCTGCATGTCTCCACCACTTCTTCCACTCCCGTCAGTGTCTGAGTCACAAATGTGTGTATTGCTACACCTGTTCCTTTTTTAAAAGTTTATTGTTATGTGCATGGGTGAGTGTCTCAGATCCTTGAAAACTCGAGTTACAGACAGTTGTGAGCTGCCACATGGGTGCTGGGAACTGAACCCGGGTCCTCTGGAAGGGCAGTCTGTGCTCTTAAGCAGTGAGTTATCAGCCCCCCCTACTCCTCTCTTTTTTAAAAGGGGTACTTGATACTCACAGTTTACACAGCTGAGCCATATTCTCAGGCCCATTTCCAAAATGCCAGTCATTACCTCGAACTTTCTGAGAGTGAGAATTCTACTCTATTTGTGCTCACCATAAGCCTAGTGCCCAAAACATTAGTGGGCATATATTAGGTGCTTAATAAGTACTCATTGGTCCTTTTGAACACTTGTATTCAGTGTCCTATTGATTCAAACAGGCTCCATTATCTTAGGTATTTAATTTAACTGAAATATCATCTACAAAAGATGAACCCCAGCCTTTCTCGTCTAGAGAAATCTTGCGTGGAGCTGGAAAACGTTTCAACTCTCACGGGAGTCTCTCTCCTTCCTCCACCCCTTCCTTCCCTCCTTTCCTTTCTCTGTTCTTTCCCATCTAAATCATGGATATAAAGGATTGTTTGCTTTCAGTTTTACCAGTGTCCGTGGATATGAGGAAGGCTGATAACATCACAGAGATTTTCATTTGCCATGACCCTCCGTGGGCCTGACTGGGTCATGGCTATTCATCGCTTGTGTGGAAATATAACTTAAAACTTGAAGAATCTCTGTTTCACGAGTACGCTTACCATTAGACGAGCTCCCTTACCTGCTCTCCATGGTATATTTATTACTTAGCGCATCATTAGGTGACAGTTTCCTAAGATGAGACAAAAATACAGAACTCAGACAAAACTAGAACTTAGACAACTTTAGAACTGACTTCATGCCACGCACTGGGCATTATATAGTTTGCTTCAGGGTGACAGGAAATGGTATCAGCTTCAGAAAAACACCTCCTATTGGTTCTCTTCTGAGGATCCTGTTTCATCCTTTTCCTCCTTCCCATTTTCACCCAAACACACTCACCACTGACCTCCTATCTCCTTTTTCTCCAGAATCAGAACATCCTTAGGAATGAGGTCCCCTGGGTCACTCCCCCTGGCCCTCATTCCCTGATGGTGAAAGCCAACCACAGTAGGATGCTCAAACATCACCTAAAACCAGACACAGCAATACTGCTACCCTCGAGTTTTGACTGAGGTGGTCTGTTGTCCACCTCCTGGCCCCCGTCCCCCACCCGGCTACTCTCTTCCCTCAGTCATGTCTACCCTGCCTTCCCAATCCTTCTCAGAAATCCTCCTCTCCCCTCCTCACTGCCACAGGCACCAGAGCTGCCGGCCTGACGTGTGGCAAGTTCTTTTTTCTCCACCTGTCCACCTCAGGAGTTGTAGCTGTTCAATATACTGCTCAGAAAATACTGGCAGCTCCTTATGTCTCCTGCCTTCTTTTCTGACTGTATGCCTTTACTCTTCAGTTTTCTATGATTTATATAAAATTTGGTCTTTAAAAAATAGCAAGTTATTACACTATCTTTACTCTATCCATCTATAAATATACATATCTGCTTTCCTTAAAAAACACTTCCAAGCCCAGATCCTCAACAGTGTTTTACATAATAACACTCTAAACTACTGTCTCTAGCTGCATCACCATAGGGCTTTATATCTTACATTACACCATGTGAATGTGTGTGTGCGCATGTGTGCAGGGCATGCGTGTGTGTGTGTGTGTGTGTGTGTGTGTGTGTGTGTGTTTCTCTGGGGTTAAATTGGTTTATAGGTCTCAAGCTTTCCACTGCTTCTGTTACATCTGTCGAATACACAGGTATAATAATATTCGCCAATACCACAGACCCTAATTGAAACCGAGGGACAGAGTCTGAACCAGAACCTTTGTCCAAACTATATTCAGGGCACAATGATACTCACATTCCTGACTTCCTCTTTTTTTCTCTGAGACCATTCTGCAACACAAGGAAAAGAGGTGTTTCAGATGAGGAGAGGAAGTATCTCAGTTCTGGGGCTGACTCTAGGGCCAGATTCTTTAGTCTGTAAGGTCACCAGCTTCATGGATCTTTGCAGTCTCCCTGATTCTTCTACCAGTGACTATTGCAAGACCGGAATACGGCCAACCAAACACCTGTGCAATGGTATCAAATGGATGTTTTGAACTGTATTTTCCCCATCTTTAGAGGAATAAGGCATCTTTTTTACATTGGCTGCCAACTTTGGTGTTTCAAATCCCTTCAGACAGCGTCGATTCTACTGAATCAATTGTCTTTCTCTTACAACTTTGTAGTTTTTTTTTATAAACAGACTGACTTTTTATAACAAATTAACCTTTCTGAAATTAACCTTTCAGAAGTTCAATTCTGATTTTTTTTTCGAAGTAGAAATGGAACTATGCCAAATACTAATTAATCAGTTCGGTGGACAATTAAAAACAATATAATAGAAATGTTCAAAAGGACAAGGGGAAGGGTTGGGAGGTAGTTCAGTGGTGGGGTTTGTCTAGAATGCCTGAAGATGGAATTTGATTCCCACCATAGGGAGGGAGAAATGGAGGGGGGACAGGAAAGAAGGAAGGAAGGAAGGAAGGAAGGAAGGAAGGAAGGTTGATTTGTCTACAAAGTAGGTGCAGAAGGATGGGAGAGAAGCGTGGAATTTTGCATGTGAAGAGTGGAAGTTAATGTGAATGATGGTTAAAGAAAAAAGAAAGAAAGAAACAATGACTGTCAATATCATACTTTAGTGAGGACGCATAAAATTAAAATGTAAAAATTATTCTTAAGTGAAGACAAAAAAAATGAAATTTGGAGCTTTGAGACGAGTACCATACCATGAGAGGGGATTCAAAAGAAGAGCTGGCCCTGTAGCTTTTTGATGCATCCTCTGAGAAAGCACTAGAAGAAAAGCAAAACTTTTATGAATTCAGTCTTGTTTATTGAAGGTTTACCTAAGTGTTTATGTATATGTATGTTTGTGTGAGTGAATGTGTGTGTGTCTGTGTGGCCCAGGAGGCCAGAAGAGGGTATTTGATCCCATGGAGCTGGAATTATAGGTGGTTGTAACCCACTTGGTGAGAGTTCTGGAACCAAATTTGGGGGAAGGGAGGTGATGGGGATTGGGCCCACAGCCACAAGCATGCCCCTCCCTCAGCCCATTCACCACACTTGCCACCCAGACTCACAAATTGCTTGTTATAGACGAGCTGCTGGAGAGGCCACTGGATGAAGATGTGGTTGGTTCAGAGGATGCCCTGTCAGCTCTCTGAAGAGAAGGCACAGCCTTAGCAGGCTTTTAGGCAGCTAACTTCCTTCTCTATGGTGGCTCACCCCCTGACATATGGTACTGCCCATATTTGTCTCATAGCCACCCAGTCCACAATCACAAACAATGGCAAAATCAACACATTTTCATGGAAGTTTGAGCTAAGTTTTAAAAGCAACCCTACATTCCCATAGGACTTTTATGTCCCTAAGACCTCCTAACCCCATGGCTCATGGATCACTGGTGATACACAGAATGGAGGAATCATTTGTTATGCAATTGGCAAATGCCTGCATTGTGCAAACAATCTGACCTGAAGTCAACTTCAGAGGGAATCATAAATGTACAAATTACAACAACTAACAGCACATACCATTGGGCTCTTCTCTGAAAGCTTCTGATATGCCTCTTTAGCTGCCAGCTGCTTTGCCTCCTGTTTGGTAGCTCCTGAACCAGTACCATACGTTGTTGAACCAATTTTGCATTTACAAATAAATCTAGAAAAAAATGTGAATATTCATTTACGTATCAAAAATGTTGTCAATCAATGTACAATTTGGGGGGAGGAGAACCCTACAGACAAATAAAGGCCTTAAGATGAGACTAATAATTTTTTAACAATATTTATGTTTCCTACCTCATATAATTTAAACTCCACAGAAAGAGTCACCAATCTATCTGAATAACTGGAAATACTCAATATCCTGGCTTACAGTGCCTAGATAACACCTAATTCTTTCTGGTTTCATTGAAAGACCGACAGCAAAACACCATGTGATGATTTTAAAAGCAAGCAAGCAAACAAAAACTTCAATCCCTAGTGAAAAGATTTTGAGGGCGAGAGAAAAAAACGGGGATCCAGTGAGTAAGAGAGAAAACCAGGTGGCAGAGTGGGGCTAAAGGGGATAAGCCACGAGGACGCAGTCCTAGGGGAAGACAGCCCACTGGAGTGTTCTCAGAGCCTTCAGAGTCTGATGCTTGTTCACACATTATATATGAAGTTTATCACAGTAAAAGATTAGCAACAGCTCTTAATAAACTAGAACAATCAGTGCGACCTACTCTACTCCCAGGTTGGTGAAAGTGGCCTTCCTGTCACTCAGGCAGCTTCTGGTCTCACACTCACTGTCTTGTGGACCATAGGAAACAGAAATGTCAAAAGCAAAGCCAAGGAAAGCTACTGAAAAACGAATCAGACAAACTTGATTCCAATGGACCCTCCAGCATCAGGAATTGGATATTTGATGTTTATAACTCATAAACCTTTCATACTAAGTGTATAAGGAGGGGCGGGGGCAAAGACTTCTGGAAAGCAACATGTGAAATCCTGTCAGTGTTATTGCTGGTACACAGTGACACAGTAGGAGAAGCCAAGCCACGTCTCACCTTTGGGGCGACTGCGGATCGGGGACAAGCTGTTCATAATTTACAGACAGCTTGTTCTTCTGGGCAAAACTATTGACAAGGCCTATGTAATTATCAGTTAATGAAGTTTCCAAAGCGTCCGTATGACTATCTGCCTACAAAGAAAAGAAAATAAGCTCAATACGAATCACGAATTATCATACAAAATTACTAAATAAGTAACGTAAGAGGCAACATACATATTATAGACTTCCTAGTTATATTTCCTTATTAAAAGTGTCTATTAGGAAAAAATCTGCAAAAAATAAATTATTATTTTAATAAAAAATCCTAAATGACACAATAATATTACATATATCTACGGAATATAACATGAAGCATGAATTTATGTACCACACATGTATGTATGTTTGAATTTGATGTATGTATGAATTCAGAGAATTGTAACATTTGTGCGATAGAAATTATACACACATTCATGAATCCATGCATGACTCCATGCATACATACATACATACATATTTACAGCTTCCCTCTGACCAGGTGAAAAGCCAATTACTCACCTGGTGTTCGTTGTTAAGTGTGTCAACAGCACATTGGGCAGCAGCATTTTTTGCTTCCTGCTTTGATTTACCTTCGGCTTGTGGAAATTCTTTCTCGTCTATTATAACTCGAAATGTAAACCTGATTAAAAAGACAGCATTCACAACGTATTCCACAGTTTGTCATTCTCCTAAGGACAAGCACTCTGGTCTCCACTGCCCCACGAGCACGCTTCAGGATTCCAACAACAATGTCTTCTCGAAGCAGGGAGAAGTCTGTAAAATTTTCCTCTTTTCTTTCTTTCTTCTTCTTGTTATTTCTTCATAGTGCCTCGCTGTATAACCCAGGCTGGCCTCAAGCTCACTACAATCCTCCTGCTTCAGCTACCCAAGTGCTAAGATTATAAGGATGAGCTACCAAGCTTAGTGGTTTTTTTTTCCTATTTATTTATTTAGCTTAGAGGTGAGGTATGTGAGCGCATGTATTGTCTGTGTGCTCGAGACAGGACATGCTTGTTGGAAATCAGAGGACAGCTTTGGGGACTCTCTTCTCTCCTCCCACTATGTGGGTCCCAGAGAAAATCTCAGGTCATCAGGCTTGGTGGCCAATGTCTTTACTCACTAAGTCATGGCTCCAGCCTCTGTTTTATTCTCGAGTCCTCTGAGGTTCCCAGGCTCTGCAGGACTCTCACAGTACTCTGGCAGCTTCCCTGTGGAGCTGAAGTACCGACCAAAGAATGGCACCACAGAGCCGGGCGGGTGGCGCACGCCTTTAATCCCAGCACTAGGTAGGCAGAGGCAGGCAGATCTCTGTGAGTTCGAGACCAGCCTGGTCTACAGAGCTAGTTCCAGGACAGGCTCCAAAGCCACAGAGAAACCCTGTCTCAAAAAACCAAAAAAAAAAAAAAAAAAAAAAGAACAGAATGGCACCACAGTTGTCCCCCTCTACTCCACGTTTATAGGGACTGGCATTCTAGTGTTTGCTTGGTTTTTCAATTTTTTTTCCCATTTAAATGCCTGGAATCGAACTCAGGCCTTACATCCTAAGCACATGCTCTAACAGTGAGCTACACCTCCGTTATCTGGGTCTCACTTTCCTTCCTTCATCCCACCATTTTACTTAGAGAGAGAGAGAGAGAGAGAGAGAGAGAGAGAGAGAGAGAGAAAGAGTGTGTGTGTGTGTGTGTGACCGTGTGCGTGTGTGTTCAGAAGATTGTGTGTGGGGTATGCACGTGTCGGGGGAGAGAATTATCTACGTGCACGCAGAGGTCAGAGAAGGACTCCAGGCATCCTGCTCTATCACTCCGCCTTACTCCCTTAAGACAGGATCTCTCATTGAACTTACAGCTAGGCTGGTAGCCAGAAAGCCCTCCAATCCTCCTGTCTTTGCTCTATGTTTATGCCAATTAGTTTTCAGAATACCGGCCTTAGGGCGTGGTCTGAGGGGCTATGTATGCACTAGAAGTTGCAAGAAACCTGTTCGCTCTTTTACTCTGGCTCTTGCTTAGCATGAGGAAAGACCCAGGACGGCTGCTTCAGCCTTTTCACTGTATTTGTGAGTTCGTCCCTTTCCACTGCAACCCCTCAATACATCGGTGTTATTCACCTCTGTGAGATTACGCACTAGCACTGCACAGTGCTGAATTTACAGGTGTGTGCTTGGCCACACACAGCTGTTTATGTGGGTGCTGGGGATTCCAACTTTGTCTTCATACTTACATAGCAAGACCTCTTATCCACTGAGTCACCTCCCTGGCCCTAGTCATACCTTTCCTGATGACAGATTACCTTCTGTCGTGTGCAGGTCCTGTAGTACTAACTTCCTTATACGTAATTGTTACTCCATGCTTCTGGCGGTATTTATTAAGTTTGTCCATGTAGAAACCCGGTGTATCACTGGCCATGTTTCCTCCCAGTAACCTGCAACAGAAGAGGTGTTTGCATGCACGGTACTAACAGATTACAGATAATCTGAATTCCCAGCGCCCCCTAGGAAACCACCGGAGACAGTGGGTCTTCTCTACGGGACTCATCTCAGCCCTACATAAATTCAGAGAATGCTTCGTGTCAGAATCTTTCTTTCTCTCCTCCTAAAACACCTACTTTCACAACTGCTGGCCAAGGAAAGAGGGCCCCACCCTTTGTTCTACTCCTGGCTTCCAAGGAGTGAGATGTTTCCGTCTGTTTACCTGCCTGAGAAGGCGTAATGAATGTAGGAGTGGAATTACAGCTCTTATGGTAAAAACAAGGCTATGTATACACATATTGCTGTATAATATATATTGCTATGGATTATACATACACACATGTGCACATACACAACTGTGTACACACAATACAGCAACACACATATACATGTACACACAGCTACGTACACAAATATGACTACGTTCACAAACATACACACACGACTATGTTACATACGTTCATTTGCACACACACACACACAATTTAGAAAATAGGCAAAGGACTTGAGTGCTATATTTCCAAATGAGACACAGCAATGGCCAATTGGTGCGGGAGAATTGTCTGTATTCTGTCAATCATGTTATAAATAAACACTGATTAGCCAGGCAGAAAATGTAGGCAGGAAAAGAAGACAGGAAGTAGAAATGATGTAATGAGAACAGGAGAATTCTGGGAAGGAGGAAATTGATTCCTCAGACTCCTGCCCAGACCACTGAAGCAGCAGGATGTGATCTGCCCCACTGAAAAAGGTACTGAGCCACATGGCTAACATAGATCAGAAAAATGGGTTAATCAAGATGTGAGGGTTAGCCAGTGAGAGGCTAGAGCTAATGGGCCAATCAGCATAATTTATGAAGACCTATGTGTGATTTTCTTTGGGGCTAAACAGTTGTGGGGTACCAGGCGGGACAAAAATCCCAACAACAAGCAGGCTCAACCTGCTCATGTTACAGCCGATAAAACAACAAAATGATACTCAGTGCCATTACCCAGGAGAAAGAAAGGAAAAACTGTTTCTTGGTATAGATACATTTAACCCGATTTAGATATTATACACTGTTTACATATTATCAAAATATCACTTAATGCCCAGTAAATCTGGAAATATTTATGTTTCTATTATCTATTTAAAAGTGGACTCGAAATGTCAAGGTTTCGTCAGCTGGAGACACTGCTCATTTGGCAGAGGGCTTGTCTAGCATGCACAAAGCCTCAAGTTTGATCCCTAACTCCACATAAAGTTTTAAATTTTCAATGAGAATCTTCACACTGTGAGCAGGAGTTCTCAACCTGTGGGTTGCGACACTTTTGGGGGTTGAACAATCCTTTCACAGGGGGCTGCATATCAGATACCCTGCATATCAGATATTTACATTGTGATTTAAAACAGCAGCAAAATTACATTTACGAAGTAAGTATGAAATAATTTTGTGGCTGGGGTCTACACAACATGAGGAACTGTACTAAAGGGTTGCAGCATTAGGAAGGTTGAGAACCACTGGCTTAAAGCATCTTTCCGATCCTGGATCCTCTACCAGCCACCAAGACTGCTCTTGTGACGTTCCCAGTGGCTCACTCTTTGCCAAATTCAATAGTCAATGACAGTTATTCATGCATCTCCCTCCTTCCCCCTTCTTAGCTTAGGTTGTGAGTCACCTGATCTCTGGGGTTTCACCCTCTCTCAGAAGCTGTACTTTTTTTGCCTTCTTTCTCGGCCCTTCTTCATCTTCTTATTCATCTAAATATTGTCCAGGGGCCTAGTCCTCAAGTATCCTATTCCCTACTTAACTCCTTCCTGTGATCACCTCCAGGCTGTGGCTTTACATTCTACATACACAGTTATGGTTTTCACCAGGGTTGGCAAGATGGCTCAGCAGGTAAAGGCGTTTGCTGCCAAGACTGACCATCTGAGTTCAAGCCCTGGGACATACATGGTGGAAGGAGTCCCGACTTCCACAAGTTATCCTCTGACTAGACAGGCTCACTGAAGCACATGTACAAACACACACGTGCACACAAAATAAAATAAAATAAATGTACAGTGAGAGACATGACCTGGCACTTAAGAGCACTGTTGCTCTCCCGGAGAATCCAAATTTGGTTCTCAGCACCTGTGGCAGGCAGCTCACAACCTCCTTGTAATTGTGGCTTCAGGGTATCTGATACCTTTCTGGACTCCAAGAAAAACTGCCTTCCCATGTCCATACCCATACTCAGATACATGGATAATTACAAAATAAAAAGTAAATAAATTCTTTTTAAACATAAATGTAACAGTTGTAACTGAAAAAGGAAAGGAGACACCGGATTTAATAAAGGCTTGATACAAATGAATGAATGAGTCCATCCACAAAAGAGCACGGAGGTACCTCCCATTCCATGCTCCCATGACTTGGAGCCTGCTGTCTATTGGGCAATTTTTATTCACCTATCAGGATGGGCCTGGTCTTCTCTGATGCTGCAGGGGCAGCTAGAATCCTTCCCCATCACAACCCTCATCACAGCCGGCTGCTCTATAACCTAGTCTGTGAGCTCCCCAGGAAGCACCTACAGCTCTTATTCACTCACCCAAAGAGCTGTCCATCATATATATGAACCAACAAATGCCACCACCTGCCTGTCTCACCTAAGTCGCAAAGACACTGGTCTTACTTCCCTCAAACTCCCAAAATGCCTGATGTGCTTCCAGGAGCTACTTCCCATACCGCATGCATTCATCTCATATCTGATATATAAACGAGGAAGCTGCAAACAGTGGTCCGGCCCTGTCAGGTTCACAGGGCAAGCTGAAGAAAGAGCGCCATCTGCACAAGATTCCAAGGTCCTGGGCAATAGCCTAGGGAGTCTTTAGTTTCCGGGACGCAAGGCACTTCTAGTACTAAACACGCAACAGGAAATCTGTTTGTCTAGAAGACAGGGGTATCTGTGAATTAACATCCATTTAACATGCATGTAGTGAGCACGTGTCAGGTATTAGGTGCTAGGATTATACAAGTGAGTAAAAACTGCTCTTGGGACCTTACTGGTATAGAAGGATACAGACAAATTGCGGTACTAAGTATTAATTGGAAAATGAAAAAAAAATATGGGAATGGGGGCTGAGTAGAAGTTCTTGTTCAGGGACGGCTGCTCATACAGTTGGTTCTGTGAGAAGGACTGGATACTGAGAGGGGTCTCCCCATGCTATTCCTTGGGGGTGGGGTGGGGGAAGGGCTTTCCAGGAAGTAGGAAGAGGCACCACAAAGACCAGGAGCTGAAGGGTACTTGGCCTTGGCCCAGAAGCACCAAGGAAGTCTGAAAGTGGTGGGCAATGGGGGGCTTTGCCTGACTGTAGGGGTTGATGTAGCGGAGGTCGGAGCAGGAGAGCAAGCATCCGGTTCAGAGTAGAAGAAAACTCAGCTACATGGAAGAACAAGGTGAAGGATGGAGGGAGACCCGGTTGACACAGAGGCCTGCCAACTGGAATACCATCACAGCTGTGCAGCCAAAGTCTTTCCCTGAGTCATTCGGACGGGCTCCTAGATTTCCCTCCAGAGTTTCAGGTCGTCGGGTTTGTCACTTTCCTTAGAGTTCCCAGCCCCACTACTGCTGTCCAGGAAAAGTGAGAAAATAAGCCCTCAGGTCCTACCGCGTTCCTGGATCTGCACGGTGGCCGGCGCCCTGGCTTAGAATTCAAATTGCAATTTGGGGGCTCTGAGGTCGCGTCCAGGCTGCTGCTCACGGTGGCTGCTGGGGTCGGTGGAAGACTAGGCCAGGCCCATTCAGTCTTGTTTCGTTTTCCCGGCGGACTCCGCCTTCCCGCGTACAGCCCCTCCCGCACCGGGTTGCACGCGCGAGAGGACAAGTAGGCGTGGCTCTTCTGTCCCCTTGAGCTCTCCAGCTCAGCCACAGTGGCGGCTCGCCATAGGCGCTTTCCCAGGTTTCTGAACTTTTCCTGACTCCTACGCTGGTAAAGCTCTGCTGGAAGAGGGAGGAAAAAGTCAAGTCTCCTGCTTGCGGTATTTTAATAGGTTCCGGGATCAATGATCACATCTAATTTTCAAAATAAACAGAGTGGATGCAGCTGGGTACATGGATGGTTCCGAATTCCAAGATCCAGTGGGAGATACTGAGTAGCTCACACTGCCAGGCTGTGTGGGTGACCGAGTAGAGACAATTCAAGTCTAGGTTTGTAAATATTAGTCTCCCGCTTCCCTTTTCATACTGCAGCCCAGTCAAGGAGGACATGGCCATATCGACCAAATTGGCCAGGGGGTTGAAGAACTCTTTCTTCAGTCTTTTCTCATCTGTCCATTCCTTGCCTGCCAGCCCCGGGTTGCATAGCATCATCCACCCGGCCAGCAGTTTAGAACCACCTGCTCCCAGAAGGGCCTCAGGGAATATTTTACCACAAGGCAACAGCAACAATCCATCCAGGGTTGATTAGAAATCCTACCCTCCTGTGAGACTGTGACACATTCCCAGAGTCCTGATGGCTGGAACAGGACTTGGATTCTTCATCGATTAGTTTGTGACACACACTGCCCAGTGGTAGGTACGTCCTCAAGCCAGGATATTGAGCTAAACACAGACCCCTTCCCATTGGATAGATGAAGAGAACTCAGGAGCTAGACTTAGAGTCCCAAGACAGACCCCAAATACACAACAAGCATTGCACCCTGTCCATACCTTTCTTTTACTTTTCTTTATAAGATAGGAAGACAATGGCCTGAGTCTACAGTTTTCTTGTACGGTGGTTTGTGATTTGAGTACTCTAATATGAAACTCTGCTGGGACATTTTGTCAGACCCAAGGCATAGCCATCTAACTTTTAATCACATTTCCAAGTGATTAAAAAGACTCTGTCCTGGGTCTGGAGAGATGGCTCAGAGGTAAAGATCACTGGCTGATCTTCCTGCAGTCCTGAGTTCAATTCCCAGCAACCACATGGTGGCTCACAACTGTCTGTAATGAGATCTGGTGCCAGTATCCAGTCCTTCTCACAGAACCAACTGTATGAGCAGCCGTCCCTGAACAAGAACTTCTACTCCGCCCTCCCTGTCCCCCCATTCCCATATTTTTCTCCACTTTCCAATTAATACTTAGTACCGCAATTTGTCTGTATCCTTCTATACCAGTAAGGTCCCAAGAGCAGTTTTTACTCACTTGTATAATCCTAGCATCTACTACCTGACAAGTGCTCACTACATGCATGTTAAATGGATGTTAATTCACAGATACCCCATGTCTTCTAGACAAATAGATTTCCTGTTGCGTGTTTAGTACTAGAAGTGCCTTGCCTCCCGGAAACTAAAGACTCCCTAGGCTATTGCCCAGGACCTTGGAATCTTGTGCAGATGGCGCTCTTTCTTCAGCTTGCCCTGTGAACCTGACAGGGCCGGACCACTGTTTGCAGCTTCCTCGTTTATATATCAGATATGAGATGAATGCATGCGGTATGGGAAGTAGCTCCTGGAAGCACATCAGGCATTTTGGGAGTTTGAGGGAAGTAAGACCAGTGTCTTTGCGACTTAGGTGAGACAGGCAGGTGGCATTTGTTGGTTCATATGATGGACAGCTCTTTGGGTGAGTGAATAAGAGCTGTAACTGCTTTCTGGGGAGATCACAGATTAGGTTATAGAGCACCAGCTGTGATGAGGGTTGTGATGGGGAAGGATTCTAGCTGCCCCTGCAGCATCAGAGAAGGCCAGGCCCATCCCGATAGGTGAATAAAAATTGCCCAATAGACAGAGGGCTCCAGTTCACCTTCTACGAGTAATAACAAGTGAGAAGCTTTCATATGTAGCTTCCAGAAGTCTTTACCCTCCCTTATATACATTTATTACGAAAGGTTTATGAGTTATAAACATCAAATGCCCAATTCCTGAGGCTGGAGGGTCCATTGGAATCAAGTTTGTCTGATTTGTTTTTCAGTAGCCTCTGCTTTCCTTGGCTTTGCTTTTGACATTTCTGTTACCTTTGGTCCACAAGACAGTTGAGTGTGGTACCGGAAGCTGCCTGAGTGACAGGAAGTCCACTTTCACCAACCTGGGAGTAGAGTTGGTCGCACTGATTGTTCTAGTTTATTATGAGCTGTTGTTAATCTTTTACTGTGAGTTAAACTTCATATATAATGTGTAAACAAGCATCATAGTCTGAAGGCTCTGAGAACACCCCAGTGGGCTGTCTTCCCCTAGTACTGCACCTTCGTGGCTTATCCTCTTTAGCCCCACTCTGCCAGCTGGTTTTCTCTCCTATTTGAACAGCTCTAGAAAATTCGCTGGATCCCCGCCTTTTTTCATTCCCTCTAAATCTTTTCACTTGGGACTGAAAAGTTTTTATTTGCTTACTTGCTTTTAAAATCATCACGTAGTGTTTGCTGTCGGTCTTGTTTCTGAAACAAGAAAGAATTATATTTTACCTGGGAACTATAAGCCAGTATATCGAGTGTTTCCGGTTATTCAGATAGATTGGTGACTCTTTCTGTGGAGTTTAAATTATATGAGGTAGGAAACGTAAACATAATTAAAAAAATTATTAGTCTCATTTTTTATTTATTTTTTATTTTTTTTAAATTAACGCCTCCTCCCCGTTTCCATTTCCCTCCCCCTCCTCCCACACATCCCCTCTCCCCCCCTCTCCTTTCCCCCTCCCTCTTGAGAATGATGAGCAGTCCAGGTTCCCTGTCCTGCGGGAAGTCCAAGGTCCTCCCACTTCTATCCAGGACCAGGAAGGTGAGCATCCTAACGGGCTAGGCTCCCTCACAGCCAGTTCATGTATTTGGATCGAAACCTAGTGCCATTGTCCTTGGCTTCTCATCAGCCTTCATTGTCCACCACGTTCAGGGAGTCCGGTTTCATCCCATGCTTATTCAGTCCCAGTCCCGCTGGCCTTGATGAGCTCCCAATAGATCAGTTCCACTGTCGCAGCGGGTGGGTGTACCCCTCGTGGGCCTGACTTCCTTGCTCATGTTCTCCCTCCTTCTGCTCCTCATTTGGATCTTAAGAGCTTAGTCCGGTGCTCCAATTTGGGTCTCTGTCTGTATCTCGATCCATCGCCAGATGAAGGTTCTAAGGTGATATGTAAGATATTTATCAGTATGGCTATAGGGTAGGGTCATTTCAGATTCCCTCCGCTCAGTTGCTCAAGGTACTAGCTGGGGACATCTCCCTGGACACCTGAGAGCCCTTCTAGAGTCAAGTCTCTTGCCAACCCTAAGAAGGCTCCCTTAATTAGGATATATATTTCTCAGCTCCCGTGTCCACCCTTCCTTTATCCCAACCATCCCATTCCCCCAAGCTCCCCCATATGATAGAAAGCAGTGTTGATCTTACAAAGAAATCATGTTATTTCTTTTTTTAATATATTGTTGTTTTAGTCAGTGTGTTCAACTGCTGTGAAGAGACACGTTGGTCACAGCAGTTGTAAGAGATACTCCTACATCTGGATCTGCAGGCAGCAGGAGGAGAGAGCCACGGGGCCTGGCTTGGGCTTCTGAAACCTGAAAGCCCACCCCAAGGGACACACTCCCTCCAACAAGGCCACACCCACTCCAGCAAGGCCACACCCACTCCAACAAGGCCACACCCACTCCAACACTATGCAACTCCAATGACCACCACATGCACACCTTGACATGCACATGTGAGCCCCCAACATGTACATATACACTGATGATAGGGAAGCCTGTTAACCAATTATCTTTAAGAGGCGGGACCAAGTTAGGGTGTGTCTTTGCTCTGCCCAGATGTGCTCTCTTTGCAGCACAACTGAGCTTGGACTTCTCGTTCCTGTTTCATGAGTTTTTCCCCTTATAATAAATAAAAATATAATTGTTTATCTTTTAGCTAGCCTGGTTATTTCCTGAATAGAGATAACTTTAACACACCCAAAGGTACATACATATTTACACACAAATGTACATACACACAGAGGATTAAAAAAAAGCATGAAAAATAAATGATTTCTTTCTGTGGGCTCTTTGAATGTTTTCAGTTGGAATTGCGAGCTCTATGTCGCACAAGCACTAAAATGTGTCCTGATGAAACGGGCTTACCCACATGGCAAAATAGTTATGACACATTACGGAAATGAAACAAGACAAAACTGTCCTCAACAGAAAATTGCTGGGAGGAAACATGTCAAAAAGTAAAACTTGACTCAGGCGGGAGAAATTTAAATTTTTGATGACATCTGTAAATGACTTGAGTTTTATTTTCTTGCCCTTCCATATTTCCCAGCCTTCTGGACGCTCTACAAGGAACATCGGATTTACTTTGTTGTAGGAGTTTTCCATTCCAAATAACACTTGATGAACAATGCATGGGTTCTAGTTCCCCCTGAATAAGGCATAAGAAGCCGAGTTATGCAGGAATCCAGCTACAACCAGGTTCCTATTTCATCTTCCGTTCATACTGGATATTTAAGATAGATCAGTCAAAAAATTAACATAAGGAATAGACTCGGCTCAAATCTTGAAGTATGACAACGGAAAAGCAAGGTCCTGGGGCTTCAGCTTTTTTCCTAGGTCGCAAAAGTAAATCTTTTGTTTCCTTTTGTTACAAACGTTAACCCTAACACAGCCTTCTGGTCAGTACCCAGTCAGTTCCCACGTTAGCTGTGCTCATCTTTGCTGTTCCCTATGCTACCTTTATCTTGTTATAGGGCTGACGGGGTGACCCAGCAGATGAAGGCGCTTGCCCCCAGCCTAACAGCCCGAGGTCTAGCTCCAGGTCCCACATAAACTGACTTCCACAATCTGTCCTCTAACCACCCCGTGCATTTCATGGCACACACACACTAAGTGTAATAAAAATT